GCGCAAAAAGAGGAGAGGCACTCCAGCCCGGCAGGCTGGAGTTGCGGCAGCGGTGGTGGAACCCGCCCCGCGAGTGGAGGACGGCGGCGGGTGGCAAATCGCCGGCGAGGCGAGGAGAGTCGCCAAGGAGGGCCGGAAGCGCCGCAAAAAGGCGCAGCGGCAGCGACGGCAGCAGCAGCGCAGGGAGAAACGCGCTGCTGCCTTGCTCCTCGCCCCCAAGACCGCGGCTGTAGTGATCACGCTACAGCCCGAGGCGGTCAACAGGGGCGTTACATATGGCGACGTCCTCGCCAAATTAAAGGGGGTGGTAACTCCTGCGGAGTTCGGGGCCCCGGACGGGTTCGCGGTCAAGGTGACCGCTACCGGAGCCCGTCTTTTGGAGGTCCCCGGCGCGACAAGCGGCCCATCGGCTGACGCCCTGGCTGAAAGGCTTAGGGCGTGCCTCGGTGCGGACGAGGCCCGCGTGTCCAGGCCCACCAAATGCCTGGATGTCAGGATTTTGGGCCTGGACGACTCCGTCACGGAGAGTGAGGTGGTGGCCGCTGTGGCCAGGGCGGGAGGGTGCCCTGCTGACCAGGTCAGGGCGGGCACCATCCGTCCGGACAACTCGGGGCTGCGCACGGTTGTGGTGAGCTGCCCCGTCACAGCGGCCAAGAAGTTGAAGGAGGGCAAAAGGCTCTTGGTGGGATGGGTCTCGGCGCAGGTCAAGCTGCTCGAGACCCGGCCTCTGAGGTGCTATCGCTGCCACGTGGGCGAACACGTGAGCGTTAAATGCACCTCGGAGGTGGACCGCAGCGACTGTTGCTTCCGCTGCGGTCGGCCCGGTCACAAGGCTGGCTCGTGTACCGCCCCGCTGCACTGCAATGCATGTGCGGCGGCTGGCAAGCCGGCCAATCACCGGGTCGGGAGTAAGGGCTGCTCCCCTCCTGCCAAGGCCAAGGCCAAAAGTAGGCCCTCCGCCGCCCCCGTCGTTTCCGCCGCCGCCGCCACTGCCGCCGCAGTCGCCGCTGCCGCCACTGAGGAGGTCGGGATGGACTGCCAATAATGGCCCCATTCCGCCTCCTCCAGGCGAACATCAACCACTGCGCCGCTGCTCAGGATCTCCTGCTCCAGAGCATGGCGCAGTGGTCGATCAATGTCGCCGTGGTCTCCGAGCCGTACTTTGTCCTGCCCAGGGATCACTGGGTGGCGGACCTGGACGGCTCGGTGACCATCATCTCGTCGGCCGCCGCCGGTACCCCGACTCTTGAGGCTGCTCAAAGAGGCCGGGGCTGTGTCGCAGCACGGTTCGGAGAGCTCGCTGTGGTGGGCGTGTACTTCTCTCCGAACCGAACTCTCGCCGAGTTCCACAACTCCTTGAGGGAGTTGGTTACTGTCGTCGTCGGGTTCCGTTCCCTCCCCGTGCTCGTCCTCGGGGACTTCAACGCCAAAAACTTGGCTTGGGGTTCCCGGTTCACCGACGTCCGGGGTAGGATGGTGGAAGACTGGGCCCTTGAGACAGGCCTAGTCGTCCTGAACCCTGGTTCTGTCCCCACGTGTGTGCGGATGCAGGGCGAGTCGGTGGTGGACATCTCATTCGCCAGCCCTGCTCTGTCACCGCGTATTGTTGGCTGGCGCGTCATGGAGGAGGTGGAGACGTACTCCGACCACCGGTATATCCGGTTCGACGTCTCCGCCGAGTCCGCAGACCCGCCGGTCAGACAGGCCCCATGTGGCCCGCGTTGGGCGCTGAAACAGCTGGACCGGGAGCTGCTCCTGGAAGCCGCCATCGTGCAGGCCTGGGTGATACCACCGGTCAGGCCTGCCGACGTTGACGATGAGGCCAAGTGGCTCCAGGACGCCATGTCCAGGATCTGTGACGTGGCGATGCCCCGGATCCGGTCGAGGCAACAGAAGCGCCAGGTGTACTGGTGGTCGCAAGAGCTGGCGGCTCTGCGCAAGGCGTGCACTACTGCGCGACGCCAGTACACATAGGCACCGCAGGCGCCGTATCCGTCCTCCTAATGCGGAGGCGAGAGAGGCGGAGTTATACGAGGGATACAGGGCGGCGAAGGCCCTCCTCAAGGCGGAGATATTGCGGGCCAAGGAGGAGGCCCGCCGAGAGATGCTGGGGACTCTGAATAGAGACCCGTGGGGACGCCCGTACCGGATGGTACGCGACAAGCTCCGTGCTTGGGCTCCCCCGCTCACTCAGAGTCTCCGGCCAGAAGTCTTGGAGGAGGTGATTGGCGCCCTGTTCCCCCGACTGTGGAGGGGCTTCACCCCTCCGTACATGACTCCGCCCCCTGCGGTGCCCGACGCGGGCTACAGCGACGACGACGATGACATCGTCCCAGAGGTGACCGAGGCAGAACTGAGAGCGGCGGTGCGCCGGATGGGCGCCAAGAACACCGCCCCAGGACCCGACGGCCTGCATGGCAAGGCATGGGTCCTGGCCTCAGAGGCTCTCGGGCCTCGATTGATTGGTCTCTACAGCGCATGTCTGGAGAGAGGCCAGTTCCCGCTTCTCTGGAAAGCGGGCAAACTGGTCCTCGTGCGGAAGACGGGGCGCCCTGCGGACTCTCCGTCCGCGTACCGGCCCATAGTGCTGCTCGACGAGGTGGGGAAAGTCTTCGAAAGAATCATTTCGAACCGCCTCGTCGCACACCTGACGGACATTGGGCCGGACTTGTCGGACGGCCAGTTCGGCTTCCGCAGAGGGCGCTCCACGGTGGACGCCATCATGCGCGTTAGAGACCTCACGACGGGGACTGCAGTGTCCAGGGGTAAGGTCGTAGTGGCGGTGTCTCTGGACATCGCCAACGCCTTCAAACTCCCTGCCCTGGAGCTGCATCTTGGAGGCACTCCGATATCATCGGGTGCCTACCTACCTCCGTCGTGTAATCGAGGCTTACCTGACGGACAGGTCCGTCAGCTACCCCGGTCACCGGGCGAGTGGAACCGGCGAGAGATGTCACGCGTGTTCCGCAGGGTTCGGTTCTGGGGCCGCTCCTGTGGAACATCGGCTATGACTGGGTGCTGCGCACCGACCTCCCGAACGGCGTTAGCACAATATGCTACGCCGACGACACGCTGGTGCTAGCGCACGGGAGGTCGCACCAGGCGGCGGCCGATTTAATGGCGACAGCGGTTGCGACAGTCGTTGAAAAAATCCGGCAGTTGGGACTCGAGGTGGCGCTCCACAAGTCCGAGGCCATGTGTTTTCATGGCCGCGGGAACGCGCCACCTCCGGGTGGGTCCCAAATAACGGCGGGAGGGGTTACCATCGGCGTCGAGACGACGATGAAGTACCTGGGACTCGTCCTCGACAGTCGGTGGAACTTTGTGGAGCACTTCCGACGTTTGGCTCCAAAGTTGGCGAGGGCGGGGGCTGCGTTTAAGCGCATCCTCCTCCAACCTCGGGGGGCCAAACGCCTCCTGCCGGAGGTTATACGCCGGGGTCGTGCGGTCCATGGCCCTCTACGGCGCCCCTGTTTGGGCGCCGAACTTGTTGCGGCGTCCTGCCCGGACGCTGCTCATGTCACAGAGGGTCATGGCGATCCGAATGATCCGCGGATACCGCACGATCTCTGGGGAGTCGGCGAACCTCCTTGCCGGATTACCGCCGTGGGATCTGGAGGCGAAGGTGCTCGCGCGCGTGTATAACATGCGCGCGGAGGCACGTCGCCGGGGCGAAACTCCGCTGCCGCGCCAGATAAGTGCGTGGCGGGATGAGCTCCGGCGCGATCTCATGGCGGAATGGCAGCAACGACTGTCGCAACCGAGGGCTGGGCTCGCTGCCATTGCAGCGGTAAGTCCCCTCTTTGAGGAGTGGCTTGAGAGACGCTACGGCGTCCTCACCTACCGCCTGACGCAGGTCCTCACCGGACATGGAAGTTTCGGGAGGTACCTGTGTCTGATGGGGCGGAGGAAACGCCCGGGTGTCATCACTGCGAGGACCGCCCTGAGGACACGGTGGAACACACAGTGGGAGAATGCCCTGCGTGGGCTGAGCACCGCCGTGCCCTCAGGGAAGTGATCGGCGATGGCGACCTCTCGCGTCCGGGCCTAGTGCAGGCCATGATGCGGAGCGAGGGGGACTGGGATGCCGTCTCCTCCTTTTGCGAAGCAGTCATGCTAGCTAAGGAGGAGGCGGGACGCGTGAGGCAGCGAAGCGCTGCCTCCTCGCAACCCAGCCATCGCGAAGGACACACCGGGCGTCGGGGATCGCGGGACGATCTCCGGCCACCGTAAGCGCGGGCCTGCGGACGGCGAGCATGGGTGGCTCCCCGTCCGACCAGAAACAGACCCGAGCGTACGGCGCGTCGCGTTCCGCGCGCGCCTCAAAGAGCCATCAGACCACCACAGATGGGGCCCAATAGGGCCGATGCCGATTCGGAGTCGCGGAGAACCTAACGGGTAACCGGGGCTCCGGCTCGACGTGCAGGAGAAGGAACGGGGTGGTTTTTAGTCAGTAAGAGTCTGACACTCCCTTTCGCCTCACCCAGGCGGGAGCAGTCATTCGATGATTTTCCCCCCTTAAAAAAAAAAAAAAAAAAAAGGCGTAACAGAGTGCTTTATTAAATTAAGTAAAAGTGCTTTATTATTTTCTATTTAAACCCTACGGTTGACTGGTAGAGAATTCCATGTGGCATTAAGTTCGCCTTATGTGCCACTATTAGTCAATGGTGTACATTAAAGACTAAATAATAAGTACGTTAATGGTTACGTAATGGTTTAAACCTAATAAAAATTTATTTAGGTTAATTAATGAATAAATCGGCAGAAATAATCACAGTGACACTTTTTCGAACTTCGAACTCTTCCGGTATTGCAGGTTTCTGTGGGCGGCGCCGATTGCTTACCATCAGGTGATTCGTTCGCTCGTTTGCCGGCCCATCCCAAAGGCAAAAGTAAGAATGTAGGCGTACTGACAAAAGTCGTGTAATCCGCAATAGTATCTCGCGGAAAATAATTTGGTTTCCTTGAGATTATTTTTATCATTACAAAGCTAATTATACCAAGGCTCCTTGCGATGCTATCGTAGCGCTGTAGTAGTCATCAGGGTTGGTGTACAGAAGCACGGTGAGTGCGGTTTGGTACCCACAGGAGGCCACTCGACGTGGTGTCTTCAAAGGTCGCTTGTCACTGTAAAACAGAAAACTACAACATTAATATCTTTTTCTTCTAATAAGTTGACAACTATATTCATAGGTATCTTATATAGCCTTAGTCTCCTAGATTCACTCCTAGATCTCAAACAGACTGCAAAACGCAATATTAGCATAGCATATGGTAACCAATCACGAGTGTCGCACTTGTGACAACTTGACCAGACGGAACCGTGCCTTAAATCTTTTTGTATTTAATTTAATATTATTAACATCTGTGCTAATTTGGAAGAAACTAAATAATTATTATTACAGACTAAAATTAAGACCTTCATAGGATTTTTTGTATAATCAACTCGACAGAGCTGAAATACGTGAAAAACACAGTTAATTTCGACAGATTTTTGTAAGCTCTCATCTTTTCAGAATGGCATAGGTAGGTAGGAAATATTTGCTTTTGCCTTCATTGGAGACACCAACTAGTTATTCCACATTCTTGTTTCTCAATCGTGAACCCAATTTCCCCTTTATATGTGTTAAGGGTTTTCACCACGACAATTCGTATAGCTACTTTAAAAAGTGCGCCTACGCAACGGTTGATACATGCGGTGCCGCAGGAGATAGGACAATATAAATAGATACAACAGCCATTGGAAATAGCCAGGAATTTAATCAATTATAATCTAACCAAATGGAGCAGATATCGTTAAAGAATAATAGTTAACATCTGCCTAAGTCAAGTTATATTTAGCAGAGAAAACAAATTATATAAAACATCAGTAAATCAATTTAAGATACAAAAATAGTGTGCAAAAGGGTGTTGCGTAACTGAGTACGTAGTCTTCTATTTTTAGCTGACCAGCTTGTCTTGCAACGTGTCGTAAATCAAAAAGATAATTAAAGTAAAACCACTGCTAGGGTTCCGTGTGTGTTGATTAGAATTGACCAAACTTCCTCCAGTGGTTTTAAGGGAATTGAAAACACGTGACTTTGTTTTAATGAATGTCACACAAGTAACTGTGTGTTCCTATTTCTATTAGGAGTTGCATCTACCTTTTAATGTTAAATTAGCTAATCTGCGTCTTCGTCCGCGTAGAATTTGGAATTTGAGTTTTTTAATAATAACGTAAGCCATATAAGGATCTTTTTGGAAAATTTTCACTCATCGGGTTACACCGTTGAAATTATCACACGGTTTCCTTTTATGTACCTACTCTTATTAAATATAGCCTATGTTCATCAGGGGAAATGTACGATATCCAATGATAAAAGATTTTTTCAAATCAGTCCGGTAGTTTCAGTGCCTATTCAATCCAAACAAACAAAAACCAAATTTTTCCTTTGTATAAAATTAGTGCAGATGTAGATTGCGTTTACAAGAAGACTTTAGGCAGTTGTTATGATTACTAGTCAAATTTTAAAACTTCTCCATCATGGAAACAAACATCACTTAAAACAACGACAGTGGCACCTGGCACCTGGCTACTATTGAGTTAGACGCAGAGCGTAAACACAATGTCACGAAGGACATCTGTCATTTTATTTCTTGCGTGGTAACCCAGTGCACACTTAAAAATACCACTGCCATTTTGGTGCCTCAATCTTTTCTAAGTGGCAATATGTCCGCCTTTTTTTCTACGTCCTTGCATGGAACCGAAACAGCTAATGTTAAAAAATGCTTATACGCGATGTATATAACGTTAAGGGCTCATCCACAAAACTGCGGTGCGAATTCGCTACTCAGAAAATTACCGACACGAATTGCTGCGATGCGATTTCGTCCGACAAGGCGTCTTGCAGGGTGACCATTCCTTCGACGACCGTCAACCGTGCTAAACGTATTTTAAATTGAAAACTAGGTCGTGACATGGATGGTAAAAACAAGTGGGCACTTTTGTTATTGCTTAGGAGATACATGAAAAAGAAACAAAGTAAATTTTGGGAAGATAAAATTTTGATGCACGATGCAAATCAATTCGCAAGTTCTTGCAATGCGTAGGAAGCCCACACATTTTTGCGATGTGTCGTCGCTACACAGATATGTGTACGAGCACGAGCCCTAATAGGTACCACAATGGACCACGTACCAAGTGCTCATAACTATCCGATACATAGCTTTCCATACCGACAGTTTGTGGACTTTATACCTTGTAACTTTGAACGCTTTTTAATTAACAACCTACGTGTGTATACCTGTAGATGTAGATACAGCAAGATTAAGGTTTATTAAACGAAGTTAGCTTATTTTGCCCACAATATTTCGAACAAACCGAATATATTTAATATTAAACTACTCATAAATTGACTTTTTATTATGGGTTACTTAGATACGATAACTGCTCGTTGGTCGAGTAATTATATTGGGACTATTGTAAGGGGATTCACGAACGAGCACCCAGCCAGCATAGGATTATGAGAGCACAAATTCAAGAATTCCTATAATAATTGGCATAAAATTGGATGATACATCCTATAAACACCTTTAAAACTATTGATATCCATTTCGGTTACTAGTTTACCAGTAAAATAAAGCATTTATACATATCCCACTGTGTCGCCTTCAGTATTGTTATTGGTATAAAGATGTTCTTCTTAACAACATGTTACGTAAAATCATTGTTTGTAGCAATTAATATGCAAGTTTAACAACCATGTCTTGTATCTGTGACAGCATTTTTGCAGGAAAAGTAATCGTCAATGTTTTTTTTAAAGGAACAAGCCTGCCACAACCACTCAAAACCGCTGCAACTCTTTTAAGCCAGCATCTACAGTCGATACAACTATGAAAACAACAATTGTCAATGTTATCCACAAACAAAAAGTCTCAATATTATTTTTGTCGTCTAAATGTCAAATTTACCCACATAGTTGGCTATTAATACGTATGAACCCGTGTACCAGAATAATTTTGTTTTGAAAACTTTGACCTACGCACACTTAATCCGCCCATAACTTAGCACAAAAAACATCAGTCAGGTCTTTTTCTGGCCAATATCGACTTTCAAGGACATCGCTTGCGTAAATAACAATCTTTATTAATATTTTCATCATTTCTCTTCTTCATAATACTCGTGTCGAATTTCACTGGCGACATTTAGCGTTCGGCGCGAGTATCAAATTCTTTTCGTGTAATACGTTAACAAATAGACGAAACCCCACTCGATTATAAGTTGATACCCGTCACCGAAACCCATGGGTACAGGGTACATGCAACAATCGGTCTGTTGATGTTATTTACACAAAGATGAAAGGTCCCAAACGCTTGCAATTTAGTTGCCGTAAATAAATAACATTCAACCTTTTACTGAAGAGTAAGAATAAATCGAAAACACTCTACTCGTGTGTTCTGGAACTTATAAAACTGGAATTTGTATCAATTGTTTGGAAAGCCATATCGCTTTTCTTGTAGCATAATTTTATGGGAAGATTTGAAGAAGTGTTCACCATAATGCAAGGACCTTTACTATAGCCAAGCAAGAAATTCCTATTCCTATACTGAGTTGTTCTTTTTAATTTTTTTTTTTGTTTTTCTGTAAAAAAGTAGTAAATGTATAGGTACAATAAAAATTTGAACTAGTAGTCCTGGAGACTAGCACGTTCAAACAAACAAACTCGGCTGCTTTAGGTACTTGTATATTACAATAGACTGCACAGTTGGCGAGCAACGTGTAGCGGGTTCGATCGACACGGAGCAATTCTTTGTGTGATCAACAAATCGGGTCGAGTATCATGTATAATTATGTGAAATTGTACGTTTGTAAACGCACCCATGACACATGAGAAAATCCTAGCGTGGAGCAACGTTTAAACAACAATAATCATAAAGATGAAAATACATATAGACCATATGAGACTGTCTTCATGGGACATTCGACCCGTATGTTAATAGTGATGTCTGCTCAGTCTGCTACATAAATACTTATTTGTCTAGATTATGTTCTGACACAATTTACTAAGTGCTTTAGTCGATTAGTCTGAACTTGACAGAACCAATGTATACCGGGAACGACGCCATAATGATTAATAACCATTATTAGATGTTGGGTTATAAATAGATAGTGATACAAAATATCAGGTTTTAATAGTTTACCTATTAACAAGAACGAAAAGAACGAAACATGGAATACCATCATCGTTAGTAAACCTATCTCCCCATTTTGATGCTTATTTGTATAGAAATATAAACATATAACACAATATTTCTTTTATTTTTATTTAAAATCCCTCTTTTTTGAGGTCGGTTTATTAATAACATTAACACATAGCACACAAAGATACATACATACAGTCGGTTAAATAGTCGTAAATGATACTCACCTCATCAACTCATTTTGATTATTTTCTATATTATCGACTGCAAAATAGTTGAATGTGCAACAAAGACTGAGCAAGGTATAGATTTGTTTGAACATTTCATCGCAGCTGTAGATTGAGTTCTTCCACATACATTGCTGCACCAGATTACCGCAAGAAGTAGCTGGTGATAGCTGGAACAACAATCTTTATCTTACTACCTCCAACGGTGACGTGAAATGTTTACGAGCCATTCTTAACTGCCTCGTTTTACCGCCATTATACACATAGTAAAATAATGTTGTTTTTGGAAACTTGAACCTAATTCATACAACATGACGTACGTATCGACAAAATATAGCAATATAAACACCTAGGTAAGAGCAGTGTGTGAACGAAAGCTGATAGCCTCGTTGTCTAAAACCACTTTCAGGATGGTGTCGTTTAAGAACTTTATAGCAAAAACTAGCATACTTCAGAGCGTACACTGCCAGCAAATCATCCTACTCCAATCTGTAAAAAAAATTATTGGATTTTCGACTCTATGTCTATATTATAAAGATGAAGATGTAATAGAGTAAAACAGAACAGGACGGGTTGACGTGCTGGCCATCGGGCATTATAAGATATGCTTAAAAAGTCATTTCCATAAACAAGAGTACATTCATCATTCCCATAAAACAATGAAATCTATAATCATTGTAAAGAGATGATGCACGATTATTTACTTTGAAAATAAAAGCATTACATTGAGATTTAGTGTGATGTGACCATGTTTTAATAAAGAAGATAGAATTTATTATTTGTTAAGCTGAAACAGACATTCATACAAATCACACACATAATGCCCACTGCTGAGCAAAGCCTCTTCTCACACGGAGAAGGTTTGAGCATTAAGCACCACGCTTGCTCAATACATGTTGACGATTTCAAACTTATTATAAGAAATTATAAGCCCAGGTTTCCTCACGATGTTTTCCTTTGCCGTTTGTCATTGGTGTCTGAATAATCTTAGAAAGTACCTATGTATTTATAAACAACTCGGAGAAAAAGTCACATAGGTACTTGCCGATAAGTTTCGAAATCGCACACTCATGCATGAGAAATCTCCGCAATTAAACGTCATCTCAAACTTTATACCTGATAGTAAAACCCACTACGTAGTATAGCTAATAAAATTGACTTTTTATAACAATACTTGAGATCGAATCTTTATAGTAGGTATTACGGACGAAATTCTAAGTTTCAACATTTATTTGAAACCTTATCTAGAATTTAACAGAACCATTTAGTATTGCGTAGCACAAAACAAAGGATATTGGGAAAGAATTTAATAAGCAGTTGTATGTTGTATGAGAATAAATTTCGCATTCGCTCTCGATTATACTGACCCTAGTAACTAGATCCTCTTAGTTGTTGAATCACGTCAAATAAGTTTTGAATTTGGATGTTTAGTGGCCTTAGCACAAGTTGTTTTACGTATAAAATAATCAAAACGAGTACCTACGCGTTTACCGCTCTGATTGACCGGCTGCAATGAACCAACCAATCAGAGATCGGTCTCGTTTTGTGCTCTGTACAGCACCATTAATTTTATCACCATCGAAAACCACGAAATTGACACCCATGACGGGAAAAGTTGAAAATGATGTGCAGCCGCCATCTTTAAAGAACATTTTGTTTTTGGCATAGGCAATAGGCATCATAACTTTCGCATTTACAATAGCAGTAGGTGACACCAGCATATGTACTCGAAAGAATAATGAAATTTGGTAAAATCACTAACCTCTTTGAATAACACTTCTATGGGCATGTTGTTGAAGTCCAATATGGCTTGCAAGTTTTTCAACTGTTCCTTTTCTTTTTCACTTGCTGAAAAAGTAGAGTACAGCAGTGGTACGAGACGAAATGCTTCGAACACGTATTCTTCTGTGATATTCTCAGGGAGATATTCTATATAGTCAAACCGTGACAATTGCAATAACTGGTCATTGCTTGTCAGTGATGTTAAAAATTATAAAACCTAAAGAATAATACTTACAAATTCCGCGCCATATTTCTTGCAGCCTTTTTGGAAACTATGTTCAGATCACATATAGTAACAGCAGGGAATGGCACGTCCCAAATAGCTCCCTGGGTACTTTCTATAACCTAAAACAATTCGACATTAGAAGGAAATTGAAAATGTTATAGAAAATAACTTTATGAATTACGAATTACTAATTTATGCATTACAAACAAGGTGAACATTAGATTTCCGTTAGTTATGTTACAATAGAACTTATAAGACCCTTTATTAACCTACTTCTAATGATCTCAATTCTCAACCTAACCTAATGTCTCCTGCGAGTCTACAACCCACTACTCGGTAGTAGATAAAGTTCTGAAAATGTTTCTTATTTTTCTGCATTTTACACTAATATATACGAACTGCATACTTAATAGAAAGTTTATACTCAAACTGAAGACAAACTGACAAGTTAACATCTCTGTGTTCATTGGGGCTTAAAATACATAGCACATAGTAGCCTGCGCAGTATCAGCCAGATAAACAACTGAAAAACGAAGTCTTTCTAAAATGTGAGTTTATTAGTTTATTAAGACCCACACTCCGAAAATCAATAAATCCGGATTAAAGCCGAAGATAAATCACATTAATTATATCGATTAAAAACTCATAAATACAAATCTTCATGCGATTATAACAATATCGGGGAAAGTTTCGTATCGTACACGCGTCAATTGATGAAAGACTATCTAACCTAAAGCTGATAATAATAAATATCATTACAATATGCAACGATGATCGATGGTCTTTTTGTTTCATACATTTTTAAAATATTTACTTTTGTAGCACAAATGATTCATGATCACTTTCTATACAATTTGACATTCAACGTCATTACCAGCCTGTGTGTCCTCTGCCTGGCTGTGGGCATCCTCTACATAATAGGATTCAAGCTTCGCAGACGAATTGGAGTCTGCAGTTCACGGTACCAACGAACAGAGCAACGGTGACAAATGCCTACAACTTTGCTTCCACTCAGGAAAGGGGTTGCTAATAGATTATTTATTTATTATTCAAACAACATGTAGTAGAGGAGTAGAGTATAATAAAAGAAAATAATTGTTATAAGGATTACTGTTCCAATGTTAATATTTTCAAAAAAGGAAATTTAGTACCTAACCTATGAAGGTTTAGACTTATTCTTCGGTCGTAACTAATGCATAAAACATGAATTCTAATACCTAAGTACAAACTATAATACGACAGTCGGTAACACGTTCACAGACACGTCGACGTACCCGATGACAATGATGTTCCTTGTACCTTCGGAATATAGAAATAGGAAAAGTCTTATTTTTTTAATGAGACAGCCCTCCACTTCTGTAAGCCAGGATCTACTGTAGATACTACCATGAATACACACTGAAGTTCGGCGCGTCACATGGACATGAAGTAGTATGTAGTTTCCACTTCCCTCGGAAAATTCTCTGCGAACACCTTGTAGGTAGGTTTTATACATTTATACATCTTGTATACACCTTTGGTTGGTCTAGCAGTTGCAGTTGATTTGTGTTTACTCGTCTTATAATACTTACAGTAACAATAGGATTCCTTGCATACCAGTTGTATGCTGTAACCACGAAGTAAGAAGCTATTGCTATGCTGGTCACCACTGCCAACGCCCAACAGCATCTAATCACCACATAAAGATTGAATAAAAGCTTTACGTTTAAGAAATAAAGTATTTCGTAGATATGAAACACTCAGCATTCAAAGCGTTACACTCCATTAAACAACAAAGATCCAAAAATAAACAAAATGAGTTTACTTAATAGTACAATTTCAAAAGACACACAAAAAAGCTTCGTTTACGTTTTTTGTACGTACCTACGCATACATAGGTACCTAAGGTTGTATTTCACCGGGAGACCATGACGGCACAAACAGTCGCGCCACCGAAGTATCCGTAAGCTACCAAACTAGACACCAGAGTCCACACACTATGCTGCGGTCGGCGACAGTATTAAAATAGTTTTTTTTTTTGAGGGTGGAAATCATCCAATGCGTTCTCCCGCCTTGCGTTAGGCGAGTGGGAGCGTCAGACTCTTACTGACTAAAAACCACCCCGTTCATACTCCTGCTCTCTCTGCTCTTTGAGCCGGAGCCCCAGCAAACTGTTAGGCCTTCAGCGTCTCCGTATCGGGCAACTACTCTATTTGGCCCCATCTGTGGTGGTCTGATGGCTCTTTGGAGCGCGCGCGGAACGTGATGCTACAAAATAAACCTCTAATGCCGTCATCCGAGCTGATAGCCTCGACGTATTGGTTGCGCAACCAAGCGGATACCATGTAAGTAAATCTCTATAGGGCAATGCAATGCAGCTGTATATGTATACATATACATTTTGTTAGTTCCGGTGACTGGTTGCGCCGCTATGGTTCCCGGTGACATATAGCCTATAGAAAATATTATGTATTGTGTACCACTCAAATATATAAGGGTTCTTAGTTTTATTTTGTCCTAAACTAAAAATTACTTAGTATTCCTGGTTACACCTAAAAGAACTTTAAGAAGTCAGTTTCTGCTTAATTTCTTGATCGGTACGCGCAGTATTAACTAACCATGGCATAGCAAGACTAACAAAATGCAACATCCCAACTTACGAGGCCCGCAAGCAGATAAGAATACGAAATGGTTTTCAGCTCTAATGGTCAGAGTATTGCGAATATAATGTAGGTATGCCATAATTTCTAAAAATAGATATCTGAGTAGGTAGGTATATTTAGTACGCAGGGAGAACAAAATAGAACTAATAACAAGGTAACAGATAGACATTTTTGTATCATGTGTAGGTAGTACAGCAGATAGAAGACGTCACAAACATCGTTAGTGGTCGCGTCAAGTGTACCAACCTTTCACCGTAATTGAAATCTTCCATAACAATATATTTGTATCCGTGCAAATCTGTCCTCTTGCAAAACTCAACAAACTTGTTCACGTAGAAACTTCTATGCGATTTTTCCTTATCCTTATTCCAATTATTATTGTAGACAACTCTTCTTGATTTTATGTGAGAAACTTCTGAGTTTAATTGTACCATGTTTGCGACGTTGCAGAAACCGTGCTTTGTACCGTATGCTGTACACTCAACTTGTAATTTCAACTGTCGATTTGTGGTGTCCACACGAGCCAGTCATTATAAAGCTAGATCTATCAGAGATAACGCGAGTGCCTTTATAAATATTTAACTAATTGCCTACACACGCCATGGACATTAATGACAGTATCGTACTGTATTTAGGTGGAACGTAAATTTTTTATGGTTTTAAGCAGTTTTGAGGTAGGTAGGTACTTATACTTTAAATGCTTTGAAAAATCGAAATTTGGTATATTTTATTAAGTAAGTAGGTACCTACTTAAACATCTTTTGCCGAAAGTCATTTATAAAACGCAAAAATGGGAAAGCGATCGTAGGTAATTTCGGATAGGTAAATGTAAGTACACCTATGAGAAATACCCACTTCATATTTGAAGTTATCATGGTGCAGTAAAATACCTAATTATTAATTTTGAAAAATCAAAAGTACGTTAGCAATATACCTAGCATGCAATTAATGTTTACCTACCTACTTCAAATGGTAGCTACATACAATCAATCGATCCGAATCAATTAACTTTACCTCTAGTTTTCAAGCTATTCATCAAAATGCTGTCACTAAAACAACCGTTTATATGAAGATTAATTGTTTATTAACAGTCAAGCATTTAAGCACGTACCTACCATAAATGTATATAGATGCGTATAATAATATTTAATAATTCATTAATAAATTGAGAAATATTAGATTTCAGTATGGAATTTTGCCGATATCAGACTAAAACGTGTTCAAATGCAAGCCAAACGAAGCAAGCACATCACAGGACATCCACCCAAACGGCAGAAAAACGATTTAGCAAAGATTGCAAGAAACCTTTAGATAAAAGAGCTTAATAAAACTTAGGAATATGGAGATCTATATTTGGCAGTAGCTGATATGATCATCCATCCATCATCTTATAGAGCAGATGTATCGTCACCGACGTAAAAAATCGCCTGCATTTATTGACAATAGAGGTAGTTCTAGACTATTTCAGACTTACTCTCTTAGATGACAGTCATCTATGATCTATGGATTTACCTCGATATGTCGCGTCGACACCTTGGTGGTGGTGTCTTGTCTCGTACTTGAGGAAGATAAGTAGTGCTCTGAAGACGCGGAGATACGACCAACGGCAGTATGTTAGCGCCGAAAACATACACATTTTTCTTAGTGGGATTAAACTGGACAAGAATTCGTATTATTCATAAAATTATTATGTTTTCGGCTTACGTAACTGTTTGACGAGGAGAGCGCGGGTCAGAGCAGGGCGAGTCAACGCGTCGTGGGTGCTGATGAATATGGGCCTGTAGCATGACTTGAAACTAGTCGAGTTCCTCGTCAAACAGTTACGTCAAAAATATAATAAATAATTTAGTATGTCTTACAAAAGTGTTAAAATTTTTAAAGATTTGGTCTATTCTATACTAATCTTTCTCCAAACAGATCTCGATTTAAGATGCAACACAATTCTATCAGGGGTTTACCAATATTTTCCTGATCAGACTGCTGAAGAATGCTGAAAGATGAAGGACTGTTATATGAACCTAAAGACAAAGTTATACTACTTTTTAATGCGTTACTATAAAATTTAATAATAGAATAAAAGGTTAATATCAAAATCAGTAACACAACACATAACATACATAACATAACATCACGCCTTTTATCCCCGAAGGGGTAGGCAGAGGTGCACTTTATGTTATGAGTCCCATGTAATAGGGGGTGAGCCTATTGCCATATACCGGGCCCAATTCCAGACTCCGTGCTACTACAGAGAATTTAAAAAAAATCCTAGTAATACTTTGCCCGACCCGGGAATCTAACCCAAGACCCCTGCCCGGCAGTCGGACTTGCGACCACTCGGCCAGCAAGGCAGTAACACAACAATGGGATCTTATCATACCGTACCATAACCTTACCAAAAGGAGACTAAGGGTTCAATGCCTGTCTGAAATACTAACTTCCCAAAAATTCCAATAATGGAACCCAACAATGGGCTTTTCAGCACAATATTCATACAAGCTGCAAGCATAAAGACAAATAATAACAAAAATCTTCATGTAAAGTTTTTTTTATTTCGAATTTTACGTTGAACTATGATTTAAAACAATTTTATTTACAATATTTTTGCCAGTAATACAACTTTCACTATTTTACAATTGTAATCTTAGAATTGTGAAGAAATGAGACATTACAACAACATATTTTCATTTAATATTGATGATATGTATAATCATTGTTTTTCTTACAAGATTATTAAAATAAATGCATTAGACAACACATGTTTCCATGATAAAAATATTTTTATACTAGCTTTTACCCGCGGCTTCGCTCGCGTCACAAAAGGATAAAAAGTAGCCTATGTGACATATACCAATACACACAGCGCCATCTATACCAATAATTTCGTTTTCCCTCGAGAATATCAAATTTTTCCGGGATAAAAAGTACCCTATTATTTAATCCATACTTCTAACTTTACGTCAAAAGTGGAACAAAGAAACAAACAAACTCACTTTCCGATTTATAATATTAGTAAGGATACACAAGAATTGCACTTAACAAGAATATCGGATTCACGACTGATATCCGCCACAACATAGACAATGGTGTAAATTGTACGTACAAAGTTTAGCCAGCTTTTGGTCCTCCGATCCCTATTCAAAATATCATACTTTCCCTAACACTGGGTTCAATGTCAGACTCAAGTTATTACTAGAATTTTCTTGAAAATCCAGTAATATTTTATCGAAGACCGATCGACCCCGATACCCCATGCGCGACAATCATACCAGAATACAGTGAAATCATCAAAAACACATTTGTTCATGGGACCATAACTATTGAGAAACATAATAAATTAATTAGAACATACGGCTTACTCGCGTAAATCTTCGAGGTCTTAGCTTATGATTATGAATATGAACCCCTTTTGTGGCTTGAAAGCAGTTGAGCATTCTTCAACAGTTACGTGACGAAATCGTATATTCTAATTACAGAGAAAACAGTTAAGTAGTTAGAATAGAAAATAGTACGCGATATCAGAACCATAGATTACATTAAGTGACAAGAGCAGATATATTTATATCATAAATTAATTGGCAATAACTCTTTTATTTTCTGAGATCAAAAGTAAAAATACAATATGTAAGCATGTACTAGCAAAAGATACACATTAACGGCCACGCTCTAATCCAGGGATCAACTTGTTATTTAAATTTGAACATTAAATTGTTCATCGTATGATATATTTCATACCATCAAATACAAAAAGGCGGGCTCTCAAAGGAAGGACTGAGTGTCGTTGGCTTTTCAAAAACAAAAACGTTACTGTATGCCATGACCTTATGACTATAGCAAATTGTTGTTAATTGAATTATTTCATCGCTACTGTATTGAAACCTATCTAAAAGGTAAGTGTTAATATGTTGGTACTATTTAACACATACCCGATTTTTATGTAATCCTGTCTTAAGTAAATAAAGAATACAAAGAGTTTTGCACATACTTCTACGGCTGGCTATGGTCCAATGAATCTGATTTTTTTATTTTTTTAAGGGGGGGGGAAATCATCAAATGGCTGCTCCCACCTAGGTGAGGCGGGAGAGAGTGTCAGACTCTTGCTGACTAAAAACCACCCCGTTCTTTCTCCTGCATGTCGAGCCGGAGCCCCGGTAACCCGTTAGGTTCTCCGCGACAATGAATCTGGATAGAATAAAGTTTTAATACAATGCCTAGTTATAAAAGAGAATCAATTAAAAAAAGTTAATATCATATACTGTTTACAAACAAAACTTGGCAATTTGTAAACAGGAAGCAACGGGATGCTTCATTTAAGATAAAAAATCTCAATGTAAGCACCTAATATATTGCACATACGATAAATAATAATCTTCAAACGTTTTAAATAATTTGTACGTCTTCATTAATTATTTACCCTTCCATATGATGAATAAGAATACTGAATACTAAATACTTAACGTGTGGTTTGTTTTCTTGATTAAATTATTTAAAATAATTTGTGTAAAGCCGTAATCAGCCATGCATGCATACGTTCTTATGATGCTTGACTTGTGACACATAATCTTAAGAATAATAACAAAATACTAAGGGAAGTATATCAAATATTTTAAAACTTTCATCAGTTTATTACTCTTACTTACATTCCTTACAAATATTATTTAAGTTGGCTTAAATTTTTTCCAAAGTTCACTAAAGTCACAATGTTTGAAATTACAATAAAATTACAATTATTACAATTTTACAGCAAATGGTGTTCAAATTAAGTTTTACATGCCATCATAATATTATGCACATAAAAGTTTATATAAATATGTATATGTCTTCATCAAAGTTATTACTATTTCTTTATACAGTATTTCAAAATATATTTTATGTAAATACATAATTCCGTTTGCATTATTAAACACAATCAACTAATAAGAACTTGCTATGGAATGATTCAGCATTTTTTTTTCAATAATACGAATAAATAGATTTTGATTAAAGAAGACAAAATTTATGTAGCTAACTTGGCTTTACACTAAGGAAATGGAAACATTATACCTTAACACAATTATATATAAACTTTAGATCACCTTCACCATGCTATAAACAAAGTTTCGTCCCGGCTATACTCGCTTCTTCTTAAATTACATTGTTAGTAAGTAACAATATTATTATGTCAGCCTGACTAGCATATTTATGCTTCAATGCAAACGTCCAATCTTATCAATAATACCTAACGGTCCATAGGCGAGCAGTTTTTTAAACTAACAGAGGCACTTTTGGCGAAGCGGCATTACATAAAATTACGATTTGATCGTTTATGCGATTTCTATTCAATATTCAGCAACGTTAACAATAAACTACGTCCATCACAATATATTACATTTAGGCACTAATAAGATTCACTAGACTCAATCATATTTCGGGACTAACTCAGAGGGGTTTGTAACGTTCGTAACGAAGTGCGGCCATTCTTTTATAATATCGTACAACTTGTCACCAGGACTAAGAGTAGACGCCAGTTGTCTGTGTGCAAACAGTTTATAGTCTTTCGCGAGTTTACCAATTGCTACTCCCCGTTTGAGCAGCTTGATGCAAGCGTCTATTTGGTTCTGAGGAGGAGGATCATTGTTGAATGTTCCGATGAAACTTATCCCAATGCTGTACCGGTTGTAGCCCATCGTGTGCGCCCCGACGTAGTCCCAGCCGCGGCCGTAGTACGCGGACCCGTCGCCCGCTACTAAAAAGTTGTAGCCGATGTCGTCCCACTTTCTTGACTCAATGTGGAACATTTGTATGAGCCGCACGCGCAGAACACATTCACTCTGGAATTTGATACAATACAATGAACATCGTCGTTTAATTAAACAACAAATACCTAGGTAACAAATCATATTTAATAATGTCATGCTTGTTTTTCCACTAGTACAACTTTTTGCCATTAATATTTTAAGTCTGAAGTGATAATGGCAAACCTATTGCGATAGGTCGGGCACAAATAACCAGTATTTCTGTTCTTATCTTATATTAGGAATTTTAAAGTTAAGAAATGCAATGTTTTGTGTCGAAATACATTAATCTAAGATTACAATACCAATGAAATCCTAACTTGCAACAGTTTGCGAATCACTACTATCTATGTACAATCAGCCAAGTCACTTGCTACGCAGTTAGGAAAATAAAGAATGATTCAAAATAGATAGCCATTGTTATACTAAATTGTACATTTTTAACGAAGTCAAATCTTTTGTAGCTCGGTAGCCAACCATTGGCTACTGTATCTGTGCTGATTCTATCTTTATTATATTACCTGTATACCTAATAAATTGGCTGATTGTACATGGAACGCAAAAGAATTTGTTTGTTTGTTTAAACTCGCTAATCTATTTGCTTTTGATAGCCCACTTTTTTGGATTGCTATCTTTATATAGATTACATTGCTTATTCTCCTTGTCCGTAAAATGGTTTTATATGAAATTGTGCAATCCAAATCTTTAGTTCTTCTATTACCAGTAGTATTTAATATTTTTTAGTTTAATGCGAGACTGTACAAACCCATTATACCACTTAAAACACACATGAAGGGTGCAAAATTCTCACCAATATAGATTTATCAAGCCGAACAACAAGGTACCTACCGTTGTTGGAGTTTTCTTAACTATAGACGTTAAGTCCTAATCAATACAAATCAATGAAGCCCTTTCCCTTGTCTATCTTCTTCTGGCGCCATCTTCAGATCGACTCCAGACCACTAGACTGCACGTTTGGTACGGCACCTAGGCAACTGGCTGCCGTGTAACATGCCGCGGGTTCGATTCCCGCACGGAATAACTCTTTGTGTGATCCACAAATTGTTGTTCCAAGTCTAGGTGTCATGTGTATATGAAGTGAAATTGTATGTTTGTAAACGCACCCACGACGTCAGCACGACACAGGACAAAATCCTAGTGTGGAGCAACATTAAAAAAAAGGACTAGAGCCTTAATTCCTAAGGTGAACTAGGCAAGTACAGTTACAGTCGGGCGCCGCAAGACGCGCGTGATCAACTCGCCATTGAACGCCCGAAATGCGCTACTCTAGGTTCCCCTAAAATTCCATCATCAGATCATGACCTGGTAACAATGATGGTCCCATTTTTACCAGGTCCATAGAGGCAAAAAACCCCCTTCCGATAAAAATTAAAAATCCAAATCGACATAATCATCATCATAAACAAACATAAAAAAGTCAGTTAGAAATAACACGACAAAACAAGTTGACCACAGTTTTATCAACCTATAGGCATCAAGTCAGTTGTGTAATTCTGTTACCAAGTTAGTAGTGCCTACCATTTAAAACGCGCTCATTAGTGCCTGACGATTTACTTGTCACGAGCACTGGGCATTACAACTTGTCAGTTGCTATTCGTTTAAAAAATATTTTTTTATACATTACCCCACCTTTACAATTTCCTCGGTTATTGTGTCGTGGGTGGGTGCATTAAAAAACATACAATAAATTGTAGTCGCAAATAGAATTCGTTCCGTACGGGAGTCTAACCCGTGAAACCAACCGCGCTGATCACGTAATTCTTATAGTTAAAAATTGAATGTTTATTGCTATCACCTCGTCACAAACGAGATTCGGTACTCACCTGTGTTTTGCAACTTTCAGTAGCCGTGTGCGATATGATGACCCAGGGCACGGGCTGTATGATCTTAACTAACTGCTTCTCGACTGGTTGTGCTAACCAGTCAGATCTAGGTACTATCCTAAGGTGATCTGGTGCTATCAACAACGGATTAGCTGAAAAATATTAATTAAATGATCAGCAACACTACAATCTTATCATGCAAGCCGCAAAAATTTAACTCGTTTATTTATTCAAGTATTACCACACCAAGTTCCTATAACTCATATGATAACACTGACTCATGCTGGTGCTGGTATTTATTAATAGTTGAATTGCTTCAAAGAACAAAGCAAATACAACTCACTACACTGAATTATGTAGTCCTTAGTAATATTGAATGTAGAAGTAAAACAATCTATAAAATCGTGTAGTACCTTTGATAGGTTTCATGTAGGGATCACTATCATCCTCTATCGCTTCGTAGTCTCTCTTTTTCCTATGCCTCTCAATACGGGTGACCACACTCTTATCACCAGAGTCATCCAATGTTAGTAATGTATAAAACATCAACAGGAATGTTAATGGCGTCAATATAATTGTAAATATAATTAAGTTTAAGTTTTCATAGAACAATCCCACCACCTTTGTGTAGTCTGAAATGATAATACAATTATTGAGTCACCAAAATGTTTGGTGAAAATGATAAACTTAATTTATAGCCACACCTTTAATATTGTTAGTATTACTGTGCAATAAGTGGACAATGTCTATCTATAGGTTGGTGAAGTACTCACTACATTTTAGGGAAGTCCCTTACCGGTTTTATACAGAACATTGTAAAGACCAATTACCTTATTGGTACAAGGACAAACTGATATAATTAAAATGATAAGTATAATTATAATAAAAATCCCAGGGGACTTTTAGAAATATTAACATATATTTATTTAGGTATTTCATATCAAATGTTTTTTGTAGTCACTAATATGATGTAACTGATAAATTATTGCAGCAGCATTATTTTATTACACATATTCCAGAATGACTCTAATATAATCAATTTAAATATAATCTGGTCTGATAGTGTACTTCAAATGTATAATTAATTTATTGTAATAATTTAAATAATACTTAACTTGTTATCAAGATATTTGTATTGTAATCAAAGATTTAAGTAAAAGAAAAGATTATCTGTGTAGATAATTTTACTTTGTAATTAGTACTGAATACCTATGTATTTGTCTTTTTTTTTAATATAGGCTTTACCAACAGCATTGGTACAGCATTAGCACTATACCTTCTGATATTAATGACTTTTGTTGGCCTTGCCTTGCAATAAGGATAACAAAGAAAAGTTTGTCAAACAAAATACTCCATAGGCTGATGTAACTAATGGTGACTTTGTTCAGTGAACTGTTTAGATTGGACAGAGCAAACAATTCACTGGAGTTAGTGACATTGCATGATTGTGAAAGAGGGAAGGTGTGGGCTTGAATTAACAAGTAGGTCCACTCACTTGGTGTCCTTGAGGTGTTGTCTTCCTCAGACATTGGCGAAGAAGAACTAATATCATCCTGAGTAGAATTGCTAAGTATTATTGACAATATTGCAAATATGCCACCAAGTATTACTACACATACTGCTGAAAAAGTTATCTTGTGCCATTTTCTTATATGAAACTTCTTGATAGCTGTAAAAGATAATAATTTATTATGTTGTTTATAGTACCAATTTATCGTCAATTAACATTTCAATAAACTCGCATCTGGTGCATGCAATAAAATAAAGAAATAAATATATAGGGCATAAAATTTTACAAAGTCAAAATAGTTTCTTGAACTGTCAAACACCAAGCGGTCACCGGTGACCGCGACCTATTGTTCTTCAATTGTGTCTATAAAACCGGTACTCGACAAGTTAAAAGGTATATTCCTATTTATTTTACAAATTATCATTTTTAAAACAGTCGCAGCATAACAATTATAATGTAAATTTGCAGTATGCATATAAAACTTAATCCATGATCATAATTTGGTACATTGATAAGGACATGTATTTTGAACAATTCAATAAAAGATACTTTGTACTTTCTTGCATACAAGATGGCAGCCAGTCGGCATTAGTTACAACATTGGTGGTTTATGGCATAACTTTAATGAAAAATATCTGTTTTGTAATTTATTGCTTTATAAGAAGTTAATCTCTATAAATTTCTATATTTGTGTTTCCTGTTTTGGGTTTTCCCCCAAGAGAGTTTTGGTCTACCATACATAGCAAAGTGAAAGCTGTGCATTCTAGTTTCATGAATACATAGATATAGCATACATAAGTAGTTAGATGTATTTTTTCTATAAAGTCTAACATCATAATTAATTACAATTGTCTATAAATTCAATGATAACAATCAAACAATGACTTTGCATATCACTAACAAATTAATCAGAGCAGTATAAGTATGTACTATTATGTATAATATATGAACTTGTGCATAGACACAAAATAACCTAAAGATCTAGAACTTTTTTCCTCAATCTATGTGTTTCAAAGCAGTCTAGCCGGTCAGACACATGGCCTAGTTACATACTGACTGTGAGCATTGTATAAATATATACCTGCATATTTGCTATATACACAGACTACACAACAAATTATATTGCAGCTTGCTTATTCAGCATAAGTGCAGCATACACAAGTAGCATTCATAGACAGTTAATAAAATAGCAAATAATAACTTGTTACAAGTTTACAACTTAGCATCAGTTGCTTTCCAAAGGACAGTGTGATAGACAAAGTAAAAATGTACTCTATTCTCATTTTTTTAAGAAATCAGTTGAACTTAATTGATTAAGTATTTAAATATTTTACTTACATTTATTATTTTTTGTTTCTCTCTCATACTTTTGTGTAGGAATGTCTTCATCATCAGTTTTAACATAAGAAGGGTTCTCTAAACCTGGTGCATTTTGTATAACTTGCTTGATAATAACAGGTCCATTGAAATAAGTGTTGTTACCAATCACAACATTCTCAGAGTTACTAACTGCCACATTGCCCTGTATTGGACTACTGTTTGGCTTCACTAAACTTGGTGGGACTGAAGGGATGGTGGCAAGAGCGCCAGTCGTCCTTGAACTTTTGCTATCTATCTCGACATCATCATCACTGTCGCTGTTTTCTTCAATTATTTGGAAATCTCCTAACTCGCCTTCTACTTTAATACCAATACTATCATTCACATAGCCCGTTTGATTTTTCAATGCCATTATCAATAAAATACATGCACATTCACATCTTTAATTTCCCATTACTGTCTCAGTACTATAGAAGACTGCACTTGCACAGAACTTGATTTATTCAATAAAAACTTGCGGAAACAAACTTTTAATAACTTTAAATGATTTAACAAGGTTATAAAGTGATATTACTTGTTTTGTTTATATTATGGAAGCTAGGGTTTTGTTCTTTCACTAAATATAAAATTAATATCCTCAAGTTCTCAAGTTTATTTTTAACTTTTTTTATAGATTTCAATTTCAATATCACAGATAACAAAAATAAACTTCAGTGCATTGATGGATATCATGACAGTCGACGACAGACAAAGAGAAAAATTCGTTCGTTCCTCAAACCCAGAAATATATTAATTTTTATTATTATTTAATCAATAATCCTAATATTATTATTAGTTTTATAATAGTTAGATAATTAAACTATTAGTTTCAAATATTATTTATTCAATCACTTTATCTACTACAAAGGCTACAAGAACATTATCTTTATTTTTTCTCTACAAACAAAACAACACCAACTGAACTGTACCAATGTACCAATACTGTCAAAGTGTCAACTGTCATATTTCAGGTTGCGGTTGACAACAATATTCTGTCCAAGTTCCAAGCCAACACCAACACCGTATTGAATTGAATATTGAGTATTTTTTGTATCCAGTCTTATTAGAATAAGTGGGATTCATGAAAAAAAAAATTTAGACAAAACAAACATAAACAATATATATAATATGTTAAAATATTACTCTTTCTAACTAGTTCAAATCGTATTGTTTACGTGTGCATCTCGCCCTTTATAAAGTTATTTGCCGGAAATTATAAGTTAAAATGTATACTATTCATGAAGGTGAAGTAATTTATAAAGAAATATACGGTTCTGTTAATAAACAAAGATTCTATGTGAAACCGCCAGGTAATTTATAGTTGGTCATGAACTCGGAACTATTATGTACTCAACTTGTGTAGTGTTGATGTCGTGTACTCCACGTCAATATCTTGTTGATTACAGAGCAATCAAACGTTGTGGTACTCGACGAGGAAAAGTCTAATGAATTTGCTAATTTATTTACAAGAGTGTTTCTACCTCAAGGTTACCCATATAGTGTAAGCAAAGATTATACAAACTATCAAATATGGGATACAGCACAAGCTTTCTGCAGCACAATCACTGGTAAGATGCACCTAGAAAATAATGAATCTGTAAACTGTAAAAGTAATCTACTATATATAAAAATAAGTCGGGTTTTCCTTCCTGACGCTATAACTCCAGAACGCACGAGTCGATTTCCACGGTTTTGCATTCGTTGGAAAGGTCTCGGGCTCCGTGAGGTTTATAGAATTTAAAACAAAAAAATTTTTCTTCATGTTTTAATTACCAAATGAAATAAAACGAAGCCAGAACTGAAGGCGAAACGGAGTTCACCGGGTTTGCTAGTACTTTATAGTTCATAATCTTATTGGTAAAATATTACAGCATGTAAGTATTATTATAACATAGACAATATACAAACTGTGAATTTTAAACTATTTTACAGGGATTCTGGCAACCCAGGAAGTTCTGCGAGGTGTAGGAGTCGGCGACACAACTGCAACTCCATTAGCAGCCACTGTAACTTGGGTTCTGAAAGATGGATGTGGACATTTGGGGAAGATTTATTTTGCTTACAGTCATGGGTAACTAATAATCTTTGTTATAAAACTTTAGGGGACCATGATTAAAAATAAGACTAACTTTGCATCATTTGTATTGTCTGATCAGTAATAATGGGGTGCCAAGCCTGTCATTTCAATAATCCTGGTAATTATTGGTTAATCTAAACCAAAACAGTGCAGTTTGCATTTGTGGTTAATCATTGAAAATTGTACTTGTATATCATTTCGTTTCCAGCACTCACCTTGATGCTTATAGCAAAAAGTGGCGACTGTATGCAGATGTGCTAAATGATGCTGCAATGTGCATAGAAATAGCTTTACCAGTGTTTAAGAACTACACCACAGCAGTCCTATGTGTAAGCACCGTCATGAAAGCCATTGTAGGAGTTGCTGGTATGTATTGATGCAAATTTTCATTTTATTTTAACATGTAGCCCTACAAGATTTTCTCCAGTGTTGTGGGAAAATATAGCTAAATTATGCATCCATCCACATTTTGAATTTCGCATACCCACTATGCCAGATCCACATTTAGGCATCTTTCCATGTTTGGCTCTGGTTCAGGCCATAGGGCAGAACAATAAGAACTGGAATGCTATGTCATTCTTCTGTGATCCACACATATTACGTGTTCCTTAACCGCCTCCTTAGGCGGTGTGTGTGGGGAAACATCCCAACACCAGTAGGGCTGATGCCCAACCAGGTCTGCGGAAAACCAGGTTGCAGGGTTTCCTGATCGAGTTATTTGTTACTCGGTAGGAATAGTGTGGTTTTGGTCAATAAGAATCTGACCTTCCTTTGGCCTTACCTAAGGAGGGAGAAATCATTTGATAATTTTCGCCTTTAAAAATGTGTATATTGCAGCCAAGTTGAGCACTTACCAAAAGCGGGATTATTTATGAAAAGCAAGTTGTTTCACATTTTTTCATTAATAATCTCACTGGGATGTAAAATAAATGGGGGGCACTAAAAAATAACTGGTTTTCACAGTGGGTGTCAGACAAAATAGATTTGGGAAAGTCTGTACTATATAGTAGTTTATGGTTTCAGGAGGTGCAACCAGAGCAGCCATGACACAACATCATGCTATTAGGAGCAATCTGGCAGATGTCTCTGCCAAAGATTCTGCTCAAGAAACAGCTGTAAACCTTATTGCCTCCCTTACAGCTTTGACGATCATTACAATCTTTGGGTATGTAAAATAATCATTTTAGAGATTCCAAAATAATATCTTATATTGGCATTTAAAACATATAACGTCATAATATGGTAAGTCGACCTGAATCCATTGAGTTTCCATTCGATATAGATAAAATTGGTCAGAAATGATAAAGTAATATTTCAATATAAAATTCATAAAGTTAATAAAATAACTAAAATTTCATTGAGATCCATTATGTGGACCATTAATATAATGTTATTTATACATATGTTATAGTTTAAAATATTACTATGATAACATTCCAGGAGTTCACTTACGGTATTCATAATCATGATGATATTTCATATCATCTTCAACTACATGGCTGTAAGATCAGTCTGCTTGAGGACCTTGAATGAACCAAGATTTTTGCAAATAATTGACACTTATTTGGGGGAAGAAATTATTGCAAAGCCTTGTACTGTAAACAGAAATGAACCAGTTGTATTCTTACCTATTGGCCCGAACAGTTTAGGTAAGTAATGAAATAAGTAGGGATGTAACGGAAGCCTTCTTGCGGAGGCGGAGGTTAACGGAGGCGGAAGTGAAATAAATAGAAATTCATGGTTTATTAAAGTCGAAATTATTTATTTCAAATGAGTAGGTACGTCACACATTTGTAGGTATATGGTACACTTTCATGATTCGGAGTCGCGGAGAACCTAACGGGTAACCGGGGCTCCGGCTCGACGTGCAGGAGAAGGAACGGGGTGGTTTTTAGTCAGTAAGAGTCTGACACTCCCTTCCGCCTCACCCAGGCGGGAGCAGCCATTCGATGATTTTCACCCCTTAAAAAAAAAAAAAATGGTACACTTTCATAAAAAAACTAGTTCTTAATCAAAGTTGAGAAGAGGCTTATTATTTTTTTACGAACGACAGCTTAGCGACTTTATCGACTTGTGGCCTTCCAAACGATATCTCGAAGGTTCATAATTGTATGTTATCGTAAATGAACTTCCGTTAAAACTCTAAATATTGCGGAGGTGGATGCGGAAGATGAGGTTCAAGTCTTTGTGGAAGTTCCGCAGTAACGGAGCGGAGCAGTACATCTCTAGTAATAAGTTATTGTAAATCTTCTCACACTTGGATTTCCGCCCATCACGTGGCTCCAGTTACAAACACTCATACTCATCACACTTGCTGTCTTCTATTACAGTCAGATTCAAAATGTAAACTTAAATGTTTTATACGACTTAATGTAATTTTTATTTACAGAGAGACAATTATGTGGATTCCAAATCAAAATAGGTCATTCTATGAAGAAACTTGTGAGTAACAATCCAAAAGCTTATTTTATGATCAATGTCAAAGGAGTTTACAAATACAATGAATATATCTTAGTACATTGTTTGGTAACAAGAAAGATATACATATATCCGAGAGACTCTGCCACATCCGATAGCATATTGTGCGCTTACTTCCATGCAGTGTTGTATGGCATTGTGATTTGTGCGATAAATGATATTCCTTTGGTAATAATAATTATTTTTCATTTTCAAATAATTCTTTGCTGTTTCTTTGTATCATTTTTCAACAGAACTTGATGTATTTCATTACAGAATGTTTACAAAAACCCCAAAAATCTTCTAAAACCTTTTTCACTTATTTGTGAGACCTTACAACAGGCTGACTGGTCAAAAGTTGCAGTAGAATCTCCACCCCCGTACAGCAAATTTAATTACGAACCCTCATTTGAACTTATGGAGTATCTTAATAGGATCGTACAAAAAGAATGGGTAAATTTAAGGGTAGGACTTCAAAAAATTGGTAAGAAGTGTAATTTGTTTATTTTAAATGTTTACGAACTTTATCACAGAGACTGCTGCTTCAAAATTCATACAATAAAAATGGCATGACACATCATGTACCGTCATTGCTTTTTTGGATATTTTTATTCTGTCCTCGATGAAAGCACACTGTATGCATAGAATGGTCTGAAACAAAACATATTTTCAGTACAAATACAAATATATATCAGTTACATCAAAATAAAATTTAATATGTTTTCATATTTATTTCAGGGTGGGACTTAAACAAAAATCTTCTTATCGTGGATGAATGGCGCATTTGCACTGCAAAACTGGTTGCCACACAAATCTCTATAGGAGACAAAATCATACCAGAAGTTTTAACTCATACTGCTTCTAATATTAGGACATTTCATGAACATGAGAATGCCACTGGTAAGCATGGTAAGCTTAAGACTTATACAATTGAACCAGACTCAGAAAATTCAGAATTAAACATACGCAGCAGAGTGACACGAGAGCAAGGAACAATGACCACTAAATAGTATAATGAGCAGGTTTGGAGTATAAACTATGGGTAGTGTGTGATTACATAAACACTAGTATGCAATAATAAAGTAATTTTAGTAAATAAATTTAGTACAATTTAGAGTCAATTCACCCTGAGGTGGCAAAACAGTGAAATCCCACCTGAATTTGTAAGCAATATTAGGTATAGAAGTAGTTACTGATGCCATACTATGCGAACTGTGGCTATCCTAGTCATGCTATACGAATTTAAAACAGTTTGTCTGAACACTTAATTTAATACACACAGAACTGTATCTGTATGTCCATTTCAATATACTATTATATCAAATGTAGACATATTATTTTTGATAACGTTTTATCAATTTATGGTGTTATGTGATAGAAGAAAAATTGTTTTAAAGTTTACAACACCATATTATTTTATGATTTTATTTTAGTACATTTTATATTTTTAAATAAGTCAGACAATATTATACCATGGAGATATTTTCTGTTGCAGAAAAATACTTTGTAAGTAGGTACTTGTTACAGTGAATTAGATGGTTTATAATTAATATTATATGACTAGATCATATTATAATAGATGGATAGTATAAATAATCATTATTTTAATGGCATTACTTTTGTTTACACAAATAGGACAATACAGGCAATTATTTACATTCCTATTTATATTTTTATGATGTTTGTTAAATTGAATATTCAATGGATTACCGAAAATTAATATAATTTTATATACATGCGTAATATGCCTAGTGTATGAGAGTGCATAATAAATTTAATACAAAATGGGTGTACATTGTCGTTTTATTTATCGCCATACATTAATGGGGTGTTATTTATACTATTTAGCATCACGAACAATTACCTACAACTACGTACGTTTACATAAAGTCAAGCCTATTAATTTGTAATGCCGTCTTATTGACAAAAAAATAACCACTGATGCATCTGACCGTCGCGTCGTAGAGTGACGACCATTAGCTTTATATAAGCACATACAGCCGTATAATATCGGGTTTATCGATTATCATAAAATTTTAGACTCCGTAACAACTTTTCGAACAACCGAAAAGTCAACAATATTCTTATTCACTAAAATACATACTTTTTGAATTCTCTTAGGAACAGACAGTCGAAATTTCATCCTCGTTTCCTGTCGTACAATAAATTTCTAATTGTAAGTATCAAATCGCCAACCCACATTGAGCAAGCGTGGTGATTAATGCTTTATGCTTAACCTCCATGTGAGAAGAGGCTTTGCTCCGCAGTGGGCACGTAGGTGTAGACTGTTGATGATGAAAATTAAATAAGTATAAGAATGGAAGTCATAAAAATCAAAAGCATCAATTCAGTTCATTTTAAAAATTCCCGCTTGTTCAATTATGTAAAATTGCCAGTATTATTTAAAAAAGTTTTTAAATAATAGTGAAGTACATTTTTTAAATTATTATAATTAAATAGATTTTACAAAATTGGACTACCAAAAATTATATTTTTTTAATATTTATTTGTTCACTTTAAACCTATGTATGTACATTCGAATTTCTATTATCTCATTCTCGTTGCATAAATGACACAACTTTGGACGGACTAAATACATGCTACATAAATATACTAATTATTAATCTAATAATATACTAATAAATAAAAACTCGCAAGTATAAAAACCACCATTAGTATTATTACCGGATTACACAACTTTACAGAAAATGTTGCCATAGCCATAAAGACGACGAGTCGACCTACTCGTCCGCTATCAGTACTACCACCACTACGCGGTACGCTACGCTAGGCAAGTGGCAACACGAGTATTGATTTTTAAGTTGTTCCCGCGGGTAGTATTCCTTGCGCCCTTACACAGCAAATATTAGATTCATGACGTAACACGCAATTTATTAGCTCTGATTAGGTGTGAGCGAGTGAAAATTTCTGTTTTACCTGCATATTACATTAATTAATCTACGTTGACCCTCTCATATCATAAATAATGGAACCTGAAAACCATGTATTTGCTGGATGGTCCAGGGAAGAGAGATTTTGTTTACTAAAAGTAGTTGATATTGACATCGAAAAAATCCAACAACAAATACCTGCTAAAAGTCCAAATCAAATTAAAGAAGCCATTGTCTATGTAATCAACTCGCTGTACGCATCTGATGGTGATCCGCCACATTGCTCTCGTATGAAGCTGTCAGAGTGGCGACAATTTTTAACTAGTTCTTCAGCTGATCCAGCCGAGCGTCGGGCAGAAGGAGCAGTAACAGCTAGAATGATTGCTCAGCTAGAACATATACCGACACCTGAACGCACCTGGAACATTGACTTCAAGGAAGTATTTCTGCAGATGGCTAATGCTATGGAAGGTAGACATGTAGTAGCTGATGCGGCAGTCACTGAAGTTCTTTATCTGATGGCCACTGACACCGTACGACGTTGTAACGGAATCGTGCCTCCTGGACTTAAAGACTTCATATATAAAATCAGTGCGGGTAACAATCCTGAGCCGCCGCAGGCGCCGTCCCTGCTAGATCCACGGGCCACCTGTATGTGTTCACAAAGCGGCTATGACCCGGTTTACGTCGCGGCTGGGATGGAAAACCCTGTTAGACCAGACAGACATTCTGGGAGATCTTCCAGGCGACATCATCATCAGTAAATTTTAAGAATATTTGATATCTTTACGTTTGGTTTAAAGTTTTTTGTGAAGCTGGCTCTCAACCGAGAGAGGAGGAAGGTGCTGTCTGTTGGATAAGAGCGTAGCTCTAGGATAGGAAGACTGAAATGAAAAATGTTTAGAAGGATCGTCAATCGGTTGAAAATTAGTTTTATGCTTTCAATTAATTTAGTTTAGTTATCAATTTGTGAAACAGAAGTGCAGTATTGTAATGCGTGGTCAACCTATGTATAAGCATCAAAATTGGTACTGAAATTACCTACTTGATTAGTAGTACTGTGTCCCGATTATTTCACATTTCATAGGTGGAAAATGTATTTCATGGTTATATTTGTCAGACTAGTTTTAAGGGTTATTTTAGTTAAGTATTTAACTTCATTGTATTTAAAAACAAGGGTTATAATAACGGCGTTCGACGTAGATGCGAATTAGGAGGGACTTATGCAATGATATCAAAACAGGTGCAATTGTAGTGCAAACAAGTAACTTTATATTTCTCTATATAAATTTTTCAGAGAAACGTTTTGTACTTATATTAGGGTAGGTTGTGCCAAATGTGTTTATAAAGCATTACGCCCCTGAAAGCCAGAGGTTTCTAAAAGTAACACGGTGGAAAGTCACGCGTTAAACGCACAAATTACGAAAGATAAACATTTACATAAACTTAATAGTATGAAACCTTTTATACATTTATACCTACGTATTATAATATGTTGGTAGTTGTGGTTACTACCTACATATTTTACTTACCATTTATAAACTACTTTGTGACGCATTTACAAAATTAGATAAGCTTGATGATGTGTTGTGTAGTTGGAAATTTGAAATCAAATATAACAAGTATCAAGTATTTTTACCTAAAATCAAACTGGAATTTGAATAAATATACTTCTTGTACGAACCTATAATGGATCTTTTATTTCATCTCAATGTTACTTGTATAACCAACTCGTACCTACACACGAAACATAAAAATGTAAAATCTTATTCAAATAAAAACTGCAATCGCAAAATTTATTACGAGTACATTGCCACCCCTCTGTTTTGTATCTAGGTCGCTGTCAAACCACCCCTTTAAATCATAAAGAACACATGGTAAAGTGGCAGCGCCCCACTAAATGTTCGATTTAATCAATATTTTACTTGCACAATCGCAGCCGCAAAAAGGAGACAAAGCTAAGATTTTTTATTAAAAGCATTGCATATTTACAAACCTTCTTATCTTACTGGATCATGGTTGCATTTTACTGTAACAAATGTTAACATAATGCAATCGCAATGTAGGCAGAGTAGGTTAAAAAAAACTAGGCAATGAACAAAAATTAAATAATATTCTACAAAAATCAGGTCCTGCTTTAATTTTCTATTCATTTTCAGTGTTCTTTTTTCAATATGAGCAATAAATATATTATTAATTTCATATCCAGGAATTACTACTGTTGATTCAATTCAAGTAAAATTAAGCAAGGATGGTTTGGGAGCGGGAGACTGACAAAAATCCTGAACTTGATTCAAACGAGCAGGTTTAAATAAAAGTCAACGAAATACTACACCATACCACTTTATTTTTAGTATTGTCAAATATTGTATCGTTTTGTGAAGATTTGAAGACGTCGCACCGTCATTACAAGAAATCGATGATCATACAATATCGGAACATGTTCCGACGCACCCAATACACATTCAATTATAAATAATTATGTTACTCATAATCATATTGCAAATACAATACATATAGAGATGTAACAACGCGACAATATGATGCGACTCCTTCCAATAATGTCTATGATATCATTTAACATCATATCTTCAATTTAGGCTGTCAAAATTACATGATCCCTTTTAAATTTAAGCATCTACATTAGACTCGTAAATACTTTGGTAAATTGAAATTAATTACAGTAAAACTAAAAAGATTGATTTAGAATGAAGAACAAAGACTTATTGCAGCATGCAAAATTAGCTCACTCAGTAATTGTCTACAAACCAACGATGACCAATCACTCCTAAGTACCTACAAATCATTTGTTCCAAAACCTCTCATAATTGCCCTACCGTTGAACCTAAGTACAAAAAACAATACTGAGTTTGCTGCAATTTTGAAATTATAATGCAAATGATTTATAAATATTACGACAAAATGAATATCGTATTTCACCTAAGAAGACAGTATGCACAGCATACTGCACATTTGTTATGAATGTTCTACGTAAAACGACCTAAGTGACCAACTAACTTCTTTCTATTTATTTTAGTTCGTATTTCGGCAGCTACGTGGAATTTTCAGTTGAGTCACACCACCACTAAGTCAATTTGTCAAAAAGCAAAATCCCCAGATAATAAAAAATATTACAAATAATTACCACAACTAATATATATACAGTACAAAATATCAAATATTTTCATCACAGAAATAAGTACAGTGGTAAATCATGATAATTACAAATTAATAATAATATACTCAACAATAATTATAAAAACAACGCAAATAAAAATGCATCAATTACACTTAATACTACAATGAAATAAATAAGTAAAATGATTTAATTTGACACATTATTTTGGTAAAAATAAAACATTGAAAGTATCACTACGAAAATTGACTATTGGTGTTATGTGTGAATCAAACTGTAGGTACTACTGTTCAGGCCTTCATAAATAAACTACTTGAAGCATATGTTATCTAGCCTGAACAAATTAACTTATATTGTTCGGTGTTACGATTACTTGCCCAGCTGCTTAATCAGCATGTCAGTGCTGAGGGACTTGGGTCGCTCAATGGGAAGGCCGAGTGCACGAGACCAGATCAGTTGAGCGAGGACGCCGAGAGCGCGAGACACGCCGAACATCACGGTGTAGTAGTTCATCTCCTTCAGTCCGTAATACTATGGGGAAAAAATGTTATGTATTAATTGATTGCATTAAAGGACACTTGTATTATTTTTTGTAACCAAAGAATGCGAATTTACCTGTAAGAGGACGCCAGAGTGAGAGTCCACATTGGGCCACGGGTTCTTGACCTTGCCAAGCTCTGTTAGGATTGGGGGCACCACCTTGTACACAGCGGCGACCAGTTTGAATAGTGGGTCGTTGGGCAAGTGCTTCAGGGCGAATTCACGCTGGCATGTGTACCTAGACAGGAAAATAATTTTTAGACATCAAGTTATGTAACTACATTATAATCTTTAATTCATAATTATAATTTTATTTTTTACATGTTGTTTCACTTTTTACTAGATAGTAAAAACTTTTAAGAACATATGACATATATGCAATGAAAATAAAATGGAGAGATGATTCCTTAATCAAAAATACATTTCTATCCACATACATTTATTTGATTTTTTTTAAAATAATGTTCCTAATATTTAACTTATGCTCAGTTACCTGGGGTCAGTCTTCCTGAGTACAGCGTGACCATATCCGGGAACAACCTGTCCGGACTTGAGAGTCTTCCAAATGAACTCCTTGAGTCCATCCTCGGTGAAGTTATCGCCAACTTGTTTACGTAGTTTCTCCAACCACACAAGCACCTACGTAGATAAATATACTAATTGTTATCAACATTCTTTTATAAGATCACATTTTATTGCTTCATCGTTCCCAAAAATGTAAGCCTGTAACTTTTTGCTTTGTATTATTATTTTTATTTTATAAGTTTGTATACTAACCTCCTGGTTAGCCAGACCATGGAGAGGTCCAGCGAGACCGTTCAGACCCGCGGCAAACGAGAGGTAGGGGTCGCTCAGAGCTGAACCAACCAAGTGAGTGGTGTGAGCAGACACGTTGCCACCCTCGTGGTCACTATACAACAGAAACAACAATATAAAGACTACATTATTTACACTAACACTTTATACTTAATCATAAGTCAAATATTACAGTACCGAACGAATAATTTGCATGAACACTTTCATTTATACACAATGAGTAGTCATAAAGCATGCTTATTATGAGTGACCAGGCATAGTCAATGAAGTTGTGTATTTTGCAGGATTACGGACAAGTGGTTAAGATTAAATACAAGCATAGAGCTATAGCTATATACTTGTGTACTATAATAACTACCAACTTTTTTATACTTGTGTATTTACAGTGGACATGCTAAGTGGTTTGAAAGGTTTAGTGTTGCCGCTATTTAGCACCGCCACGTGACTATATTCTAGTTTAGATAACAATAGTGCAAAAGCCGTGCTTTAGTGGCCAGCACAAATTGTAAGGCACTTCAGATAACAAAGATATCGCGATGTTACATTGTCACTTCAATACTGATGGTCTTATCTCCGAGTTAACTGTATGAAAATATAAATTGAAGCAAAATTACGGTTCACGAACTAATCGAGGTGAAACCATTAGTAAAATCATTGCAATCTTTAACAGAGTATTATTAGGCTACTGAAATAATAATAAGCACAGCCAAATAAGTTGAAGATGTTAAGTACAGAATTTGACAAACAGAGTAATTAATAAACTACCTAGTCTTCTATTTAGAGGTGGCATGGTGACACTTCGGCACGATTAGATCCCTGAATATTTGAATTGTCACCATGGATTACAGTGGGGTTAATAACTTAAACGGGTGCTGGTCCAGTTTTAATGAACCTTGTTGGTAAATACTATCTTCGCAGTAAGCAGAATATAATCACGACTTAATGGGACATAATCTCGCTTAGCTATTGATTAGGAACAAACATGCAATGCTCACGTATTGTAAAGGTGTAACATCAATTACACTGACCACTCGGGATTGTAAAACAATGATTATTAATATAATAATACTATGACAGAGTAAACTGTTTATTTGTTTGTTACGTTTTTACTCTTAAATATTGTATTAGTTTTGTCTAATATTGAAATAGTTTTTACTTTAGGCAATGTCTTAAAATGTCAAGTAGACTTATTACCAACGTGCAACAAGAATGAAGAAGCTGGCAAAATTTCGTTTTAAAATAATAATATATGTACATGTATTTATTAGTCACAATCACAATCGTGATTGCACTATTAATAAAGCAGTATCTGTTTTTCTTTTGTTGCTACCTACTCATGTTTTTTAAAACTTCTGTAAAGGTCATCTCAAGTACTTCAATTCAATGAAATGTTTTTATTTGTATTTTGTACAGACAAAAATAATGCCAAACACTCAAGTTGTGTAACACAACAACTAGAAAAATTCGCAAATAGCAGCTGTTAATTAATTACACTCGCAATATGGCCAATTAAAATTGTCTTCTCTTAGCTGTTATTAATCTTCAAGCAGTGAGCATAGTAGAAATGTGTTAACAAATGAGATAATACAGATGTGTTAATGTAAGTTTTGAGGATAGCACATAATTTTGCTAGTCGTGTTGCAAACTGAGAGCTGATGTTAAAGGCTTCTGACACTAGAGTGTTAAGTTACGCATTGATGAGTGTTACGAGCTCGGACACAATACACACATTACGGACGTAGAACATTAAAAGTATCGCAAGTCACATTTCACGCAAATTATCGTTCGGTATTGATTCTTCTTGTGTGGTCTGGACACTCAATTGAATCAGGAAATCACTTATTCTCCAATAAATCACAAAGAGAACTGTCTGGAACGACCAATTTGAATTGCAATTTCTTTTTTTAGCTCAATTGAACTTACAATGAGAGGTCGGGATCGAGACATTTCGCTTTCATTCCCAGTTGGCTTTAAAGATGCTTCCATACCTGTGAATGGTGAGGTACAGGCGCATCAGCTCTGTGAACTGAGGGTCGTCGAAACCGAGCATGGTGCAGTAGTTGGCAGACCAATCCTTGTTGTCATCGATGGCGCCGATGCCCTTTCCGTCGCGGTACGTGTTGCGGTAGATGGTGGCAGCAATCACGGGCAGTTTGGCAATCAAGTTCATCGAGTCCTCGTAAACGTACTGTTAAGTACAAACATGTCATTTTGTATCATATATTAATTTTAATAGTAACCAAACGCGCCCTCGAATTGTGTTTACGAGCAGCAATTTAACTTAGATACCTCATGCATGACGCATTCAGTTTATGATCGAAGTAGATAAACTAATTTATAACTCTTATTAACTTTTATCAGCGGATAACAGTGGGTGAGGTGATACTAGGGATTTTATGAGATTAACGTTTGTGTTTAGCTACTTACCTCCCAGTATTTGGATTTGTGCACACCCTCTGAGTAGGCCTTTGCGAATGAAGATTCGCTGTTGAGGGCGGTGACGGCAGCCGAGAACTGTGACATGGGGTGAAGCTTGCTCGGCATGTTGTTGAGCATGGTGACAACATGTGCTGGCAGCTCAGCCCTGTTATAACACGCACAATTATGTTTATTGAATTTAACTTTGTGCACACTATAATATTATAGTTGGCGGGCAAATGCCAGAAACTTTAAGTATCTTCTGATCGGTCAATTATAGGCAGAGGCCTATAATAGGCAGAGGCCTATAATTGACCGATAAGAAGATAAAGTTTGACTGACAGTGGAGATAGGTGCCAAATTAAAGACAAAAAAGACAATTTTACATAAAAAAAGAATAACATACATTATAAACATGAATGATAAAAATAGTCACCAAATGGCTTTTTTATCATATTTGCATTAGTTTAGAATGAATGCACGAGGTCTCTATATAGAATGCACGTGTCGATGGCCAGTAGATACCGAGTCCAAATATTAACATAACACACATTCATACATACGGGATATTTGTAGGCACGCCCCGATAATAAATAATTTGACTAACCTTTGTGCCCACTCTTTGGACAGGGCTTTAGCTTGAGCCTCGGTCGGGATGTCTCCTGTCACGAGAAGCCAGAAAAGACCTTCGGGAAGAGGTTCAGCGCCTCCCTTGGCCTTGGGCAGGGCCTGTTGGCATTCAGGGATAGACATGCCACGGAAACGGATACCCTCATCAGGGTCCAACACGGATGTTTCCCACACCAGACCCTTGATACCACGCATGCCTCCGTACATCTGAAAAGAAAACATTTATTGATATCTAAGGACGCCTGCTTGCATGGTGCGAGGGTACTTACAGTCCACGTTATTGGCTTTGACCCCATAACACGTCATGATCACTTGATCACGACTGCAGACGACCCAGAAGATTGATACCGACATGCAGTTATTTATCAATCAATATTATGATTTAATATCAAATAATATGGCCTTCGTATTTTGCCTCTGTTTACGAACGTTTATGAATGTATAAAGTTTATTTAAAATGTAAAGATCCATTGCCAAATATACCTAATACGATCTTGAACTACGTCAGGGTTCCATTATAATGCAGTTCATTGACCGTGTGCTTGGACACTCTTCATGTGACCTTGTTGGATATAGAAACTAGTCATACGAAATAAGAACTAATACGTAGGCTGGAAGTTGTAAATTTCCTTAACTACTGGTTTTATTTTACATATTATGTAAATGGGTTAAGACTGATAGCAACTACCAACATTATTCGAATATACTTGTTTGAAACAATAAGCAACCAAGAATTATTTATTATATTAAGTACTTATGTGTGGATATTTACCAGCAAAGCGGGACACGAAATGAGTGCCTCTTTGTAAGAACATGTAATCATTAGCAAACATTGTTCAGTGTTATTGACTTACCATGTCCACGGTGACCTCTCCAACTTTAGTGCTGCCATGTTTCTTACGGAACTCCCGGATCTTTTCCTGTTCTTTGGGGATCTTTTCTTGCAGAATGCTCTTGAGGTTGGTGGACTCGGCACTCAAACCTCGCAGCAGAATCGATGCCGTTGGGCATACTTTCTGTTTGGACAAAAAAATCATGTTATTAACGCAACAAACATTACCTTTAATTTAGTGTACATAAATTAGAAATATCGGACTGTAAAGGAACTTTGTACCTTTGTATTCTACGTCAATTATTTATTTATAGCAATGGCCACCTATAAATACAATTCCAAGAGTAGTTTACAACAAGTTTAACGAATAAGACGCTTCAAGGCGATCTCTTGCATGTAAAATATCATTAACCTCCATTAGATTAGAAGTCACGATACACATAAATGTGACTATTCATAAATACTATATGTACTCGTACATAGTAATTGAAATGAATAAGTAAAAACGATAGAGGTTCTGATGATGGTATACTTCAGTTTTCTTAGACCATAAATATTTTGTTACTTTAGCAAGTTACTGACAGATAACTTAACCAGATCCTTAACTACTTTCACCGACAAAAATAGTAGAAATCATTTGAAATACTTGAAAGAGGGACATTGCCAAAAATATCAGTGTAGTAACCTAACAAGGGGCAATTTCTTTTACGTGCAAGAATGTTTAACTTTCAAGAACCGTTTTACCATTCTGTCAACGACTTTAATACAATAGTTGTACCGAATGGGATTGTTGTCTGCACAAAAATATAAACAATAAATCAAAGTATGACAAAACCTACTTAGAGGAAGTTCTTGTTTATAAATAATTTGATGAGCTCAATCATAGCGGCAGCGTTTCAATCAATATAAGAACGTCGTCGGCAGGTCAGCGCGGGCCAAAGTTTAACCTGATTGACATTATAAATCACATTTACGACTATAAAACCCTTCACACATAGAACAAGTCATTGATACTATCAATACAATCGATTATGTCATTAGGAGTGGAAGAATTCCTCATTTATTTCTTCATCAATTAAGAATGCCACGTATCAACAAGAACGTTGAAAATGATTACAAAATGTTTACAACAATTGTACAATTTAACAGCAAGATTTGATTTGATTGATTTTTTTAACACTGATAAATATTAAGACTGCCTGCCATTAACGTGTTCTTCATGGCATACAAGTCAATAAAAATTATACATGTATCTTATATATTAGTTAAGTCAATAAAATCAGCAGAAATAGGATGCTGTAAAGGAGTCCACATACGAACAGCAAGTAAGAACCATCAGTTTCAGCGACGAATAAGACACCAGAATGCGGGCATCCCCATTGTCGCGTTTATAATCTACGCTAACGAGGGCATGGCGCATGCTCGCTCAGTAAGGCCAGTAGAAATAAGGCCGTACAATTTACTTAAATAAAAGTCATTAGGTACAGTAGTTACTAGATATTTTCCTTGATGATACAAATCCTCCCTGAACACTATAAGGAAAATAATATTTAATGTAAATCGGAACGACGAGGTCATTTTGATTAAGCACGGAAAAATCCAAGGCAATTTCTTAAAAACCATTATTGAGTTATTAAGAACTGATAGTGGAGGGGAAATAACCCAGATTTCGCATGCTAATGTATCCTGATTATCTGTGAATAAATAAGTCATCAGGTTTAAGAGTTATTCCAACGGGTACATTGCAGTATCTATTTTTAAGACAATGAGCTACTGCACGTATCGCTTTAGAATAGCTCTGTCAGACGAGACCTCATTCCTTTCAGGTATACGAAACGAGTATACAGCGCATGTAGTGCATGAAATCAGGAATAAAATATGACAGTAGAAGAAACCCAGTATGTCTAATAAAATAATCTGGTATTTTCTTAGAGATACTGAGAAATCATATCATATTGAGATCATATTATATTGTTACCAAAACTAATAATTATGTACCATATATTACGATTCTACTCAAACGTAGATAACAAATTATTTCATTTGTATTAGCAAAACAATCCACGACCTTATTAATGAATACAATTAATTACTTGTCTTATTAATATATTCCTTTATTTTTGATTCTTTCATCAGGAATTGAAATTCGCTTTACTGACTTCGCGAATGTTCCCACTTCGAATTTTTGCAAACTTATTATTAGCAACGATAGAATCATAAGCTGTACCCCGGATGTTTTAAATCAATGATTCGCTGCTAAAGTAAGACAGTGTCATGTCCCAAATGAGAGCGTCTCTTTCTTTCGCCAACCTTAATCATGCCTACACAATAAAAAGATGTAGTACCTAAGTACAAGTGCCCTGTATAAGAATTCCAGATAGCATCTTTATTCCTTCGCAATAAAAATCATTTTCTCAAATCGTCGCTAAGTTCACCGCGCCCGCGTTTTAATCCTTCTTAAACAAAGTCGAGAATTGTAAAACATTAATATTAACGTTGAATTAGAATATACACACACTTACCAAGGCCAACGGTCTAATAAAATTTGACGCTGTAAAATAAAATTATGGTGTAGCTGTAGAGTAGCGTAGTTTAGGTATGTCAGTTTATCAATAATTCACATTTTGTACTACTTTATCCTTTATCAACAAGTTTATGTACAACACCGTGCAATTAACTGAAACGAAGCAGCATAGTGTTGATGAAAGTGTAGGACTGTATGGCATGCTGGATAGTCTAACAATCGAATAAAAAGAAACTGTTTGGGATGAACTAAGTAACTTCGAAGTATCGAAAAATTAAGTCTACTTGAGACTTAATCATCAACAATTGAGTGTCACGACCTTATGGAAACAGCAACCCGACGGCAGTTAACTACAGGAAAATAAAAATAACAGTCCTCTACTAAAAGTAGCACGTCACTTCTGAGATGTTTGGACGCGACGCAGAACTTCTGAAAACATAAATATCAACGGACACCGATGTTGATACTCAGGCAATATAAATGAAAACACGCATTCACAAGATTTGTTCGTCTGATGTGATTCATTTTTAACGGCATTCTATTAATTGTTTATTTTGAATTACTGTAATTAGGTGTACGCAATGAAGCCAACAAGTTTTACGTAATTTAAAGCACGGACTAACACATCTAACTTAATAATCGGATTCAAAATATACTCAGAATTTTGACCTAGCAACAGAGGGGTGAAAAAAAGAAATGGGGTCTAGTCACAAAAAACTTCGAAAAATACGGTTTAATGTTGTTTTTCTGAATATGGTCGTCGCTCCTCGTTCTACCTGCTCTAAAACATACACATAGAAGAATCAACCGGTACAGCTAAACTAAACAATAAAATAGTACTTGTAAGTTAACGTTAATAAAAAGGTTACTCGGTTATGATGCAACATTCAGGTAGCTATTTTAGTCTTATGTCCTTATTTACCATTAAGAGAACTACTTCTTGGTTCCTTGCCGAGCCTTTTACAAAGAATAATATTATAAACTATTAATCCAATCATTTGACTCCTAACAAAAATCTACAAAAAAATGTAATCGTGTCGGATGTTGTTCCGGGGGCTTGTAGCTAGTTTTTTTTTTAAATCAGGTTTGAGCAATATCAACACGCGTTCGAAGTTACCGAGGTAAGATTTGTATTAAAATTAAAAATAATTTGAATAAATCGGCCTCTTGTAAGTATGTAGGTGGTTGATGATGTCATACTGTCGACGTAAATCCGGGAAAATCTCCTTTATGAAAGGAGAATTATTTTAAAGTCTAAGGCAGAAACATTATTGTAAGTAATTCAAACGTGGTTTGCTTTGCTTACGCGCTAAATAGTGGTAGAGTTCAGAAGACAAGCTAATTCATCAAAATCTTTAGAATGTGTGTTTAGATTAGATACTACGGAGAGTTAATCGTCGATCCGTACCGTAAGCCTAAGGTCAAAAGTTGTTGTTATTTCAGTTTAACCTTCTGCGCTGTAGGCTTGAAATGACCACAATGTGGTATTTATTTTGTTTATCTGAGTACGCATCTACTATTTCATATTCAAAATATCGACGATAAGTACGTATTTTTTGCAGTTCTCCATTGGGTTAGTACAATGTACGTGCATTTATTACAATACTGCACAGTTGGAAGTAATTAATAACCACAATAACTGCTTTGAAATACACATAGTCATAATGGAATCTTGTTTTATACAGTTGATAAAGTGGGGCACTTATTTATCGATATAGGTCGGGAGCTAAACTGCTGCTAGGAAGGAGTATGTTTTACATTTCCTCATTCTAGCATATCTACAAATAAACACTGTTGAAAGAGGCAAAGTTCATAATAACTTCATACTGACGTCCTACCCTGCAGATAGATAAGATTGCAGATAAATCTTATCACCAACCAAGAAGCACTAATTTCATAACAACATACAATTTGTTCCACAATGTTCTTGTTCTAAACTAAAATGAAGCTACAGAGAATATAAAATAAATGCAGCTCGTTAAATTTTATTTTGCGTTCTAACTATTTTATCATTTAATTCGTGGTCCGCTTATCACGTAAACGCCCTATACGTTCTATAATTTATCAAAATGAAATAGATTTACTCCCTCTTGATAAACTCTGTATTTCGAAATATTTTAGTCAATACATAGAGTTAGCACATAAATGTAATATGTTTCCCTTTACCTACATTAAATCAGCAAAGATTTGATCAAAGTAGGTGAAGCTAGTAGCTATAGTTTTTGCTACTGGAAGCCATAGCACAACGCAACCTTGAACATGTGCGTCACAAACTAACCGCGTTCTTCACTAGTTTTTTTTAGATCCGTGTTACTTCCATGTGTTTTGTTTTACTTAATTTCCAAATTATAACAGTTTCTCGCCTTCCCTGTACAAGTGTAGTCTAGTGCATATGCCAACGGTATAGTAACATGTGCCTATAATAATCGTGAGCATTTGGGCGTGTGCCCGATGCAAACGTGAGTTGACCTGCGTGGTTATCTTTAGAGTTGGGGCATAGCAGAGGACACGTATCGTGAATGTCATTGCGAGGATTTCTGCTACATAGTTTACTGATAACGATATCGTGTCACGACACCATCAATCAATACGAATATGATGTGTTCCGGTCGCTGGACGGTGTTAACATATTTCAATATACGGCCAAACGAATTCACGGACCGCCAGTCTAGTTATGTAAAACTGGCTCGTGTAGAACAATAGGTATGTCACCTGACTTTGTAAAGTCAAGTGTTACTCCTCGATTATGTCATGAAACTACGAATAGTGCTATCTCGTGCCAGTTTGACGTGTGTGGCGTGTGCGCGTACAATGAGCGGCCCGTGATAACACTCGCGTTAAAATTCACATTTGGAGTAATGTAATGGCAGTGCCCCCACGTGATCGGGAGGCGCAAAGACGCGCGCTCTGCACAGCTAGTGACATCGGTTATCACGCCAGCAAGCGCCACCGTGCGTGACACTGACATAGATTGACCAAGGCCATTGCCACTGCCACATACTTTGTGCAAACCTCACATGACTTCATTCATGTCCCCATAAGGAATCAATCATTGCAGTTAAGAAGTTTAATCCAATACCAAAAACTGGCATAATATTTAAGATAAGATTGTCGATAATATATCTGTGCAACAGGATATTCATTATAATAATCTTGACACTTAGACCTGAAGTTACCTAGGTACATAAATACATTATGTAACTACAGACACAACAAGGTGATAATATTCAAGTCAGGCAAACCTCGCGTACTGAAGAGTTAGAAAATTGATTAGATAGAAAAGATAGAACTTTAATAATATGAAAAAAAATGTATTAGATACAATGTTATTGAGATTAAAAATGACTGATAATAAAATAAGTCACAACGATTAAAGCGTAATAAGTAAGCCGTAAGTGTTTGATTAACGTGATCTTTGCCCAATTAGGTAGATACTTAGTAATCAAACATTTTTTCTAGGCATAGGAAAAATACTTTAGAATTGTAGTTAAAAAAACTGATTGCAGAAATAATCAGTTCTGAATCATAATTTTATAAACACACTAGGATGTTTTGCATCCATTCATGCGGACGAAACTAGGTGTCCTTACTAAACAATATGTCGACTTAGATCTGCTTGACATCATATTAAATACAATAAATGAATAAATAACTAGAAATCATGCCCTACTAATAATCAATGATAGTAATAAAAAACTACAACAAGCGCCGCATGCGTCATTTTCATGAAAATAAGTAAGTACGTTTAAAACGGTCATTATTAATAGGTTTCAATAGATTTAAGATAATTACAACGTCATTCTTTACGACTGCATTTTTATGAATGACTCAAGAAATTACTAACATTCTATTACTTTTATTACCGCGCATATGAAACACCACTGGGATTTCCCGCTGCAAAATCTACATGCCCTTTGATATTAGGTACACCGGTCATGACTTAAAATATCAAATATCTAAACAGGCTTTGATAAAATACTATAAAACATTACGGACAATACCCACTACAGGGGGCACTATATCTACAATTTATTCCCAAAATAGTTTTTATTCACATTACATAACTCCGAACCCAAAATGTGGGCAACAAGGTTATAAAAAGTACACAAAAATACAACATGAAAGAATATTGCTGTCAAATGTTTATATAAAAGAAAGGATAAATTAGTATAATCAGTATTTACCTGTATTTCTGCCAATTTAGTTGATGTAATCCTGAAAAGAGCCATTTTTCAAACCCACCGAGCGCTTACTACCACAGACAACTACACCTTGCTCGCGATCGATCGCATTCGCAAGTGGATGGAATGTTGGCTGACTTGGCTTGACTACCTGCTACACAGTGACGTTTGCTGTCAAAAAAAATAGTTGACTAGTGTTGTTATTTAGTATTATTAATTGTGATCTACCATTATTGCTACATAAAATAAAATACTTTTTACTTTAATCTTTTAAACTATCATCTAGTCATGGTCATGTCCCTTTTTTTCAACGTCTTTGGTCTTGTCAATGTTAATTATCCCCAATCGTCATGGGCTGACATATTATTAGATTTCATTTAACATCTCTAACCATTAATATTTATTTTGCACTGGCAGTACTGATTAATAAGTTTGTTCATACTTTACAGAGCAAGTAATTAAAAGAGGCGGAACTTAGAACATCAGTTTATGACGACTTTGTAACTGAATGACATCATGAAAACAATGCTACCAACATTTAAAACCTGATAAAATGTCTTGGATAAAAATGTGCTGTCACGGATTCCAAAGAATTACCGAATATTCAGATTGCATCGTTATCGGAATAAATTGTCATAATAAATATATATAAGGTTTCAAAACTAACATACTTATTTATAAAATTAAGGTAAATAAAAAATAGGTATAATGATATGATTGTATGTGTATTTATATTCAATAACTAATTCCATTCAATAGCTATTAAATAGCTAGTTATAAAAGCTGTATCATAAAATGTGTTTTACTGTCAATCTTTATATTTACACTAGCAGTTATCTGCGACTTCGTCCGCGTAAAATAACGACTTGTGGTAGAAATTGAGTTTTTGAATTAGTCTTTGCCAAAGTATATTTTACGGCTGTACGACTGGAACAAATGTCATCAGAATCGATTCAGTACTTAGGTTATATTTATTGCGAAATTAATTTATTTTCGCAGTTTGAATAAATAAACACGGGTTTTCCCGTATAGTTCCCGTCTCGTGAGGTTTTAGTGATAAACACTTTTCTATATTTGCAAATCAATTTTGATTTGAAGGCATAGTTCCCAGATTCGTGGAATATTCGTTTTCCTTTCACGGCTCTTTTAGTATAGGACAGACTTTCCATTATGGGCCAGTGAGTTGGAAGTTCACATTTTTTTATAGATAGTATTCGTAAAAAGATTTTTTTATAAATTTTGAATATATAAGACCCGAGGTTCCCGAGATACAATTTTTGAAGTTTCCTTATACATCGAAAAGTAACATATTACATAGTAGAAGTGTCATACAAGCGAACGTTAGGCACCCCGACTTGGACAGGTTAGTTAGATTAGAAGGCTAACCTGTAGGCTGGTCGACCATCTTGATAAAGTCAAAGTCAAAATCATTTATTTCAATAAGACTTTTGAACGTCACAACAAAATATTTAAATAATAAGAAAAAAATGTCAGTCTGTAGGTCAGTCTTCTAGTGAAGCTATTTGCTCGTTCCAAAGTGTAGATTCCTATGGAGAAAAACGAGCAAGAAACTCCATAGGTTACTCTTTTTCAATCATGTTCACAATACAATTTTTGGTTACATTCTTTAGTTGAGTTCAATAATGTGAGAACAATGTAATACTAATATTTGGTCAAGGAGACGGAAAAAGAAAATAACCTTGAGGACAACAAATTTAATACAGTCTGGAGCTGACCAGTCCCATTTGACAGCGCCCGTTCACGAACATGACACGTACCAGCACCGCCCAACTCGACCATGTTGTAGGGAATCGAGCGATCCACTGCCCGTGCCACTGCCAATGAGACTTTTGATTGAGCATGACAACTCCAAGCTGACACACATGCATTCTACTAGTCTAATTTAATTTAGTTAGTTACAGGGCTCTCACATTTACAATAATTATATAAAGTTTACAGTATAAATTTGAACAAAATGGCTGTATTTTTACATGATTGGAACTCATTGGAACATCAATGTTTTTCGCTATCCTGTGGAGCCGGACCAGCATGCCTCCAAGTATTTTATCCTCTAAGTAATCATTAAGTTTGTATTATGCTTTTCCACATAACGTTTTTTTAATATATAATTTAAATTTTGACTCATTTAAGTGTTGTATTTCCTCCGCAATTTTAATATAGCATTTAACACAGAATCCCATTAAGGACTTTTGTACTTTTATCAATCTAAATAGTGGCTGACTTAGTCTATGCCTATGTCTAGTTTAATAGTGGTGTCTTTCGGACACTTTACCAAACATCTGTAGGTTTTTCCTAATAGATAGTTAGAGTAGTGCTTGTAAACGTGATTTTTTGTATGAATAATATTATTCCTGGGTTTTTATTATTGCCCAAGCGACTCCCTCTGCCCAAATTATCGCACTACGATAATACCTACTTTAGTTTTTCTAAAGTTCCCGCCGACCTTTGAACGCATGCTTTATGCGAATAAAAAAAACAATATTTTGGCATTTGTGATTACTGAATTAGGCAATACAAAAATTGGGAAGTTTTAATTAATTTTTAGTTTTGCATGGTGGGGGCCTCCGCGGTCCAGGAGCCCCATATAATTGATATCGCAGATATGGCTTCTGAATCTCATATATTTTATTGATCATTTTTGCACATTGAAAGTGACTTAGACCTCTGAGTTTGTTTGAGTGAGAAATACCTGCCGCATATAGCTTAAATAAAATTTAAAAAATAAACAATAATTACGAAGTATTTATTGTTTTACAACACATCTGTATTTTGGCATATACATATAAAAGGAGAAACGGACTGAACCGATCCAGCAGAAACATGGATAAATCTATAAGTTTCTAGTATGTCCAGCGTCATTGATATCGCAAATTTGTTCTCTGAGGTATTCCATAATGGTTCACAAAATTAGTCGCGGTGTCAATAATAGGTAGAATTAACAAACATATTATTTTCATACAAACTACGTTTAAAAATCGATTTAAACCTCCGCTTTTTTGAAGTCAGTTATTATAATAAAACCGAAATGTATCAAACATTTTTCGGAAAAATTTCAGAAAATCGTTAGATAATCACACAAAAACATACATACATACAGGTCAAACTGGGTACCTTCTTTTTTAAGTCAGTCAAAAAATAATAATTCGCAAGCGCCACTTCCACTCCGTTAGAGGCAAAATAATAAAGACGAAAGTTTAATTTTGAGTCGAACACCTGCTCTGGTGTTCGACTCAACATTAAACGTAAGAATTAAATAATTTTTTCTTAAAAGTCACTTGGGGAAAAACGAACGTCAAAAATAATAAAGTTTTACAACACAAAGCCAGCCATGTTTGTTTACGACTAAGATCGTTTTGTTCGGTAACGGTAATGGCCCTTGACGTTTTCCTGAAGGTTGGCTACAGTAGGTCAGAAATAATATCAAACAAAAAATATTCGTTCAAAGTTTCACAAAACTGATCAAGACAAGAAGTTAAAGTCAACTGTCATTCAAGTCAAGTACAAGACTACAAGTAGTCTGACAGTCTGTCAGATCGGTTTCAGAAGTAAAAACAAAAATACTGAATCAAACCAATCATACATTTTTAAAGCTTAAATATAATTCCTTTACAATATTTAAGCTTAAGAATATGCGGCTTATCACTGTATCTTGTTTGTTGTTGATATCGTGTTATGCAGTTTATGGAGTGAAACATTTTAAACTTGGTAGAAGCAAAGGGGGTAATTTAGGAGCACCGGGAGGATATAAAGGCGAGCCACTACCTCCGGCGCAATGGTTCACGCAAAAATTGGATCATTCAAGCCCCTCTGATTTACGAACATGGAAACAGGTAACATTGATTTGCCAATTTGACTTCTGAAAAATATATTATTTGATAATTATTAATATTATCATAATAGTGACCATTGACCTCATAAAGTTAGGTATAGTCCAATGATTTGATAATAGTTATCATGTTTTTTGGTTATTATAATTAACAATAATACTTATATTTACAATTAAAAAGATGTTATTATTCATTCGTCATTAGGATCAGCCTGTACCTGTCCTAGCGCCAGGCAAAGGCATCTTCTCACGCTGACTGGGAATGACCATAACTCGCAAATTTTCAAAGACATTAATAGCCCTATGTCTATTTGTATAATCAAAAATTATTATTGGTTTTTAAACTTATCAAGTAATTTTATTACAGCGTTATTTTGTGAATGATAGCTTCTATGACTTCAAAAACCAAGGACCAGTGTTCCTGATGATTGGTGGCGAGGGTCCGGCAGATGCTAGGTGGATGGTTAAAGGGGCCTGGATTGATTATGCTAAAAAGTTTAAAGCACTTTGCATTAATCTTGAACACCGCTACTATGGGGAGAGCCATCCTACAGAGTAAGATTAGTTTACATTAAAGATATGACTCCATAAATCAAACATGTAACTTTAAATAATAATTGTTTCATTTGTACAGAGACATCAGTATAAAGAACTTACAGTACCTGTCATCATACCAAGCCCTAGCAGATTTAGCTAATTTTATCAATGCTATGAATGACAAATACAAACTGCGTAGCAATGTTCGTTGGATAGCCTTTGGTGGCTCATACCCTGGCTCATTGGCAGCCTGGCTACGGCTCAAGTATCCACACCTTGTATATGCTGCTGTGTCCTCCAGTGGTCCTTTGTTAGCCAAAGTTAATTTTATGGGTATGATTTCTTGTTTTTTTTTGCTGACTGGTTTCTTTTATGCAAATGAAAAAGAAACTTAAGTACCTAAGTAATATTTAGTTTTTCTAAATTATATTGTTTATGTCTAGAATTGTAAAAATACATTGCTTTGAAATAGACTGGGTTTAAAAAATATGAAGCTGAGTTTGTTAAAATTGTTGTACATTTTCAGAATATTATGAGGTGGTTGTTGATGCTCTGCGTGAAAAAACAGGTGGAGAAGATTGTGTTGATGTATTGAAAATGGCACACAAGCAAATTACAACACTTATGAATACTAATCCAAGCATTGTTGAAAAAGAATTCAGGTACCAGCTGTTCATATATATTTGGAGTAAATACTGCTCACACATTTACCACGAAAATGTATAGTGAGTAATTCATTGTTAATATATACTTAGCCCTTTATTTGTTATAGAGTTTGCAAACCATTTGCAAGTGCTTCAAGAAATGATATAAGGAATTTCTACAATTCCATTGCTGATGACTTTGCCGATTTGGTCCAATACAATGAAGACAATAGGATCAGTGCAGATGTTAAATACAGGAATCTCACTATCAATACAGTAAGGACACACTTTTATATAATTTGTTATCACTTTATTTAATGCTAAGTACAACCTAAGTATAGTATAACCTATTTTTAAGCAAAAGTACACTTTATAATAATTGTGTACTTTTGTGAAGAAATACTTTTAATTGATCATGAGAATTCAATCGGTACAAATAAAAATTATTTTAGGTGTGTAATATGTTCCTGTCTCCTGGGTCTCAACCTGCCTACAAGAAGCTGGCAGCTTTTAATTCTATTATCCTCGACAAAACCAATCAAACCTGTTTGGACTACAGCTATGACAATATGATAAAAGAATTAAGGAATATGACTTGGGGATCAGAAGGAGGTTTGTGTTGTATCTAATAAGTAAAGACAGTACTTTACTCAGCAATGAATAAATTAGCCTTTGTTTGCAATGAAAACATGTTACATCATAGAAACTGTTTCTAATCAATTGTTTATAGTAAAATATTGTAATTAGTTAATTGTTTTGTTTTTATGGTAATTCAAGTTTCATTTACACAATATTTTGTATTGTTTATTACAGCACGACAATGGATGTACCAAACTTGCACTGAATTTGGATTTTATCAAACATCCTCAGGGGAAATTGAAGTGTTTGGTAATAACTTCACACTTGATTTCTTTATACAGCAATGTGAAGATATATTTGGGAAAAAGTAAGAAAAACAAAACTTTATATGTACCCACTACACTTATTCTGTCATGAATAAAAGTTAATCTATTTGGATATGTTACATGTTGACATTGGTCTGTTATGTCTTTATGAAGACGGTAGTAGTAGTACAATTTATGTTTTAGGTATAATTCCGACTTTGTGGATGCAGCAGCATCTTGGACTAACAGCAACTACGGTGCTCTCAACATAGCTGTCTCTAGAGTAGTATTCGTTCATGGCTCTGTAGACCCTTGGCATGCTTTAGGAATCACTAAAACTCAAGACAATGATGCACCAGCAATTTACATTAAAGGTAAAGTTAACTTATGTCAGAATATTCATTTATCACAGTTATTTATTTACAGCGTAATTCAGTACACACTGGATAATAAAAACATATTGCAAATGTTTTGTTATCTTGCCTCATTGTCTTATCATCGACGTGTTTGTTTGATGTTAATGTGTATAACTCATGTAATAGAAATTAATAATATTAATTTACAGACATACCGTTTGATTGATTTGACGTAGTTATACCTACATTTTTGATGAGTAATTGCAATCTGTATATACATATTGTTATTTGGAGCTTTTTCCTTATTGTGTTTAACAGAAGTTGTGAAGGATTATTGTAATGTTTTTGTTCTTTAAAAGCATTTTAATTCTTAATTTTTGCTGTCCGCTTTGTAATATCATTGTATGTTCCAGGTACCGCACATTGTGCTAATATGTATCCGCGAAGTGAGAACGATTCCAGCGAATTAATCGAAGCTCGGCTAGAGATTGAGCAGTACCTTGCTGGGTGGGTAGGTCAGCCTTAACAAGCATTTGTCGTTCCTAAGCTAAACAGAATATCGATACATATGTCAAACAAAGATCTGCAATCCTTAAGGAATTACTTATTATTAAAAATATTCACTAAACATTTATTCATTCTTTCTCTATTTAGCGAAGACAACAATAATTACTAAAAAGAATCTATTAGAATGGTTTAAGCTAAATTGTTAGCTATGTAGCTAGTTAATAGAGGCTAATATTTTACAGCCATATGCTTAATAATGTAGGCAAAGAGAGGATAAGACAAAAACTTGCAGTTTAATTTATTACGAAGGTGATTGGTGATAATACTACCTAAGATTGAGATAAACAATTGAAAATTCAGATAATTTGTAGAGTAACTGTTGTCCATGCCTTGTAAAGAATAACTCCTCTTCTATCTCTAGACTTATTTTCCTTATACTAAGTTTTTAGGATGACAAGTAGGTAGGTAGTTATTTTAATAAATGAGATATTTAAGAAAATGTAGAAGTAAATATTTTTTGAGTATATTCAGTTAGTTGTGTTTATGCATTTATTCAACTTGATGTTGAACATTTTGGTGCCAAATAACTTTTTTATAACCTGATGTTAGTCTTAGTCAAACTTTAGATTGTTCCAAATATGCTGTCGCTATATTAGAAAGACTATTCCTAAACATATACTTGAATCTCAACTCACTTAGGCTTGTATGTGAATGTAGTAAAAGAATATACGTAAAATAGAGCATTTATTAACGATAGAAGAACAATGATTTCATGTCCCTTAACCTAATGTATACTGGAGTAAAAAAAGGATAACCAGTAGCGTCTTGTATCCAGTACACGACTTAAATTAAAGAAGGCTTACATCTAAAAATTCAGCGGTATAATAAATATAACTATGCATTCGATTTTAGTCTCCATCAAATGGAATATTAGAAATATTTATAAAATAAGATTTCTTTACATTTTTTTTAAATTAGTTATCACAAAGAGAAATGCGGTGCATTTTATAAATATCACTGAATGTCATTATATAAATGTTACACAAAATATCAAGGCATCAAATTGCTTTTTATTTTATGAATGCTTTCTTTGTACTCCATTCATATTAGTCTTATTATTGTAATATCAGTCTATAAACTTTATACTGACCTTTAAAACATATTCGTAATTGGAAATGTATGATGATGGTTAAACCTGTTTTATTGTAGTTTGTAATGAAGTTCCTTATCAGTGTTTTTGAAAAGTTATATCAATTTGTAGAAGTACTTAATATATGAATGTTGCAAACATTAACTAATGTTGTTTTATTTTGTGTTATGATGATGTTGACATCCTCCTTTCTTCATCTGCTTCATACAGAGGTTCTAGTGGTCTGCATTTCAACATAAGTTCCATGATACTGAAAACAAATGAATTTATTATAGGATACATTATGCAGTGGAACGATTTATGAATATTAAAGACAAATTCTACACTAAAGGCCGTATACTGTAACGCTACTCAAATACAATACAAATACTATTAAAGTTGTACTTAAATATCCCGCAGTCTTTGCCATTTTACAAAGAACTAGTGGTGACAGAACTATAACCAGCGCGACATAAAATTGAGTAGCGTTTGAGTATTTCGACATGAGATTGTATACATTCTTTTTTCTTTCTAAAAACTTTGCCCCACACTAGGAGGGGGTGCGTTTAAGTACATACAAGTTCACATACACATTACACCCAGACCAGAAACAACGATATTTGTGGATCACATAAACAGTTGCTCCGTGCGGGAATTGAACCCCAGCCCCAGCTCCAACCGTGTCGTCATAATAATTAAGGTATTTTTATAACAAGTCAAATGAAGATGTTATCGAAATATACTTACAATGTTAACGAGAAAACTACAACTTGTGTTGTAATAGTGAGGTAGAATATCGAATTAACAAATTCCGTATCTAATGTCGCTTTGTATAATTGTGAATATATAATTGACGCGAACATCGCTACTGCATTCTCCATCACTGATAGGAAAGCGTACGCGACACCTGAGGAAATAAAACAAATATTTAAAATACATATTCTAACTATGGCTCTATACGTCAATCCACAATCCACATGTTGCTATTGCGTAGATAATTTATCTATGCATATAGGTATGTATTCAAATCAATTTATGAATATTTTTTTTACTTATTTGCTACATTTTATTCCACTAGTTTGAAAGCATAGTTTTTGTAATGGCAAAGCGATTAAATAAACACTAGGATTTGTAGCCAGCTGACTGTATGGTAGTTTTTACAAAATCCGAATATGACATAGCTTGTCCTTCGCCTGGATGAATTGTGTTTATGTGATTGTACACAGTTATGTCTCAGGACAAAATTTTAGCGTGAAAGACTTCATTATCACTATCAGCACCCAGAAGATGTTCACTGGTGAAAGAGTATTTATGAGTAAACACCATGTTTAGTAGGCGACTTGGTGATTGTATTAAGTCATACCAGAGGCCAGAAAGTCTGGTCCGGATAAGGTTAAAGTGTCTACAGTTGAAGTGTCCAATTTATCCATATTTAAGGTTACAAACTATAGTAAAAGGTTTAACAAACCTCTTTCAGATGCAGGAAGTACTTTCGAAGTCATGGATCGTATAAGTGGCGCCACGCAAGGGCCGAACGCGGCGAAGGTAGCACCGAGGTACCATAGCTTATCTACCTTCGCATGGGCATAGACCAAGTGACCACAAATATGCGCTGATGCACCCAACATTACTATTACCTGTTACAAAAAATGTCTTTAAGTATATAGGAAAATCTTACTAACACGTAAAAACAAATAAATAACAAGTAGAAGGAAAATTAAAATATGGTTAACTTAGGTATGTGAATACAGAGTCCCTTTTATTGCGTTTATATTGGCACAAGTCTTATTTGCACGGATCTAAGTAGAACATTTTTTCAAGTTGCGGGCATGATCGTATATTGTACGTTTACATTGATATATGTATTTAAGCTGTTTCTGTACTCATCGATTAGTTCACTTAAGTATAAAAATGCGTATTACACTTAAGTATAAATATTTACGTAGCTACGTAAGTACTTACTGTCGCGTCGTAAGCTAATTGCAACGGAGGTAGTATAGTATAATAATTAAGTCAGCAATCATTAAGATCATAGTAAATGCAGTTCTGTCCTACATACACATTATAATATAGGTAGGTTAAGTATTTGTGTGTGTGAAACGAGCAATATCATCATTAATCACACGTATGAGAGATGTAAGTAGCAAAATAAACACGAGTTGCAGAAATTGTGCAAATACATTACATCATTAATCATTAGATACTGACTGTGTCTCTCCAGCGCAGTACTTTCGTCATTAGAGGTATACCAAACAGCATGGCTATCACATAAAGGGTGCTCAAATATGTTCTGAAGTTACTAAACGATGTCGTGTCCCATTGAAACACTTTTATAGTATACAAATACATCACAGACCGCTCATCTGGAACAACAACACATCATTACAATAAATCATGTTTGATTAGAACAAACTATTTGATATTAAGCTGAGACAAATCGTTATAGGTATATGATTCATCGTCATGAATTTGGTTGTTGCGCAATACACTCGTACCGTCTAGCCATAATAATAGGTTGGTAATAGAAAAAGTTGACATGGTATGTACAATTATATCTTTATATATATAGGATAAAAAAATATTGCATAATGATATTTGTGAACTATGTATATGTTTTTGAGAAACATGGATCGTATAATTTGTCTAGTTTTGAATATTAAAGCTGGCTATAGTGTTGCGGAAATTGTCTTGCTGACCAATTAACAAACGAAAAGAGGTCGTGTCTTTTTTTTGGCCTCGATTTAGTGTGTTTACAATATTAATTTCTAGGCGAGCGACAGAGCTCTGAGAGTATACCTTTATAATAGGTAGTCCATCCATTTAACTTACTTTGCTCAAGAACGTATGCAATATCTATGTGGGTCCACAATTACTTACCTCTTTGGAAAGTATAAAATGCCATTGATATTAATAGGAACCATAGGAATAACCTTCGATTGTTAGGCCGTCTCTGTGTGAGTATCGTCACAGTATGCACAATGTTCTTGACGTCAAAGAAGTCCGTGATTGGGTTCTTAACACCAGCCTCTGCTAAGGACTTTTGTTCTGGTCGTGTCTGCCATTTCAAGAAAATAATAGTGTATAACGTTGCTAAGACCATAAGTGACGTGTTGATTGCAAACATGATGGTGAAGGATCGGTTGACCACTTTGTTCCACAGCAAATTACCTGCAAACAATAGTGTTTACAATGTTACTTGTATTGGTATAGTGAATTGAAAAGTTTTGTAAACTTTTTTCAGTCGCTGTTTTGTGGTTTGGAACATGAGTTTAAGATGGTGATAGAACCGCTCAGGTCATGCTTGTAATAGGTACCTACATCTGTGTTAGATGAACAGAACATTGTGAATGAATAACCGCTTCTAAGTGATCAGAAGCGTAATTGTTGAGCACGACTCAATTTTCATATCATATTACTCTTGGGTATTCTAATATCGGAACAAATATTTTGGACTCATACCATGACAAATGGAATAATTATAACTTTTATTGTTATAAATTACTAGCTACTAGTGGACGAGATTAACAACAGGTTCGTAGAAACTGTCCATGCGGTTGGGTCGAAGTTTTTTAGACCCCGCCGAAAAGACAGACCGCAGAAGCTTACCGATTGTACCCTCAGACTCATGGCAGAACGACGTGCTATGGTGCTCCAGACCTCTGCCGATGCTAAAGCACATCGGCAGCTCAATAGACAGATATGGAAGTCCCTGCGACACGATATCCGCAACTTTAATGTCAATATGGTTAAAGAAGCGATAGAGCGGAACCAAGGCTCCAAAGTGTTCGCTAGGGACGTGTCTATTGGGCAAAGCCAGCTGACGAAGCTGAAGGCGGAGGATGGTAGTGTGGCGTCGACGAAAGCCGAAGTTTTGAGGGAGATCGAGACGT